GCCGCAGCACGCACCGCCGCACAGGCCCTGCCGCAGCACGCACCGCCGCACAGGCCACGCACCGCCGCAGGCCACGCACCGCCGCAGGCCACAGCGCTGGGCCGGCGCCTCGGACGCACTTCTGAGGCATGGTGGGGCGAAGTGCTTCCGAGACTTGGGGCCGTGGTGCGGCGAAGTGCTTCTGAGACTTGGGGTCGTAGTGAGGCGAAGTGCTTCCGAGAAGTGGGGCGAAGTGCTTCCGACCGATGTGGGGCGACGTGTTGCCGACAGACTTGCGGATGAAGTGCTTCCGAGCAGGCCGGAGGGCGAAGTGCTTCCGAGACCTTGCGAAGTGCTTCCGAGCGGTGCGGGGTGAAGTGCTTCCGAGAAGTGGGAGGAAGTGCTTCCGAGACCTTGCGAAGTGCTTTGCGAAGTGCTTCCGAGGCGTGGGCTGAAGTGCTTCCGAGACGTGGGGTGAAGTGCTTCCGAGACTTGGTGATGCGAAGTGCTTCCGAGAAGTGGGGTGAGGTGCTTGCAAAACTTCCTTAGATGCAGCTGAGCAGCAGTATCGTGGCGGGCTTCTTCCTCACCTCTCTGAAAGCACGAGGTTCCTCTGGATCAGGCAAGCCCGCGGGAAGATGCCGGGACTCCAAGGGCAGCTCCATGACTGCAGTGCGGCTACGACGTGTACTTGGCATGACGACACCGCTTTCGTCTGCCCACTGCCACAACGTCTGATGCTGCTTTTTTTCTTTGTGGAACCTCTCCATCACGCCTTGGATCAGGCGTTCTCGTTCTAGTACAGGGCACCAAAACCCATCTGAGAAGGTGTGGAGTAGCTGACCACCCGGCTCAACGCGGTAGTTGCCGCATTGTAAGGCCATGACATACAGCGAGAGGACTCTCTGTTGGACATCGTCTGAAAACTGCGGCAGCGGCTGTCCGAGTGCAACGTGGTCCAACGAGGCTGGAAGAGCTTCGGGGTGCGACGCTTTCCGCAGAGTACTGCTTAGAGGCTCCTGTGGTTTGCTCAGGCACAGGAGGAGTGCCTGCTGCAACTCAGCATCGGCGATGTCCGAAGGGCTTGGCGACATCATGTATGGATCCTGCTGCACTCTCACACCAGACGCTGCCGGTGAGCTGTCGTACGACAGCCGCTGCTTCTTCGCTGGAGTCCTGGGTGGCGTGTCCTCTGGCAAGGTCTGTGTCAGAGCTTGGGACGAAGGCATACAAGGATCCAGCTGCGCAGGCAGGTCCAGTGACTCTGCCACATCCAGTGAGACTGGATTCGGGCTCCCTTCCCCCATGGCTGCCGAGGCCGCTTCTATCTGAGAGGCAAAAGGCCTCTGCTTGCTGCTTCAGCCGGACTCAATATTGCCAAGGTTCCACCATCTTCAGCTGAGAACAAAGACAAAGCGAAACGGAAACAAAGCATGCATTGCAGGCCGGATCTGCGCAGAGTCCCTGCAGCAGAAGGCGCCTTTCGCCATGCCAGGCTCCGGCCACAAGCGGCTGCCGCAGCGTTTGCAGCACGGAAGGTGGTCAGTGGGATACCCGAGTGACCAGCGAATTCCTGACAGAGCCATTCCCCAGACACGGATCCTTGACATTCCGTCTGCCCAGTGGGGAAAGCGGCACTATCGAAAAGAGAGTCAAAACACGTAGATGCGACTGGTTCATGACCGTGACACCTGACGGCTTCCGAGTGCAGGTCCTGCCTGCTGCATCTGTGGCAGCAGTTCAAGCGCCTTCCACTGCCAGCTGCTGTCATGAATCAGCAGCAGAACAGCTCTGGGTGCCTGCTCCCAGCGACGGGCTTCGGCAAAGACGCTCACTGCTCCATGCAGGGCAACCAGAAACGGTTGGCTGACCTCCCAGACCCGACTTGTAGGAGCTTCTTCCCTCTCTTCTTCTTTCTCTTCGCGTGCGGAAATTGAACCCTGTGTTGCCTCTTGACTCAGGCTCGCGAGGCGCTGGGCGAAGGCGAGGTGCTCCAAAGCATGCTCCCAATGAGCCTCAACAAAAAAAACAAATGGCTCCCATAGTCGTCACCGAGCACGGGCTGGAACAGCAAACGACTAGAGGTCCAGGCGCCATGTGCACAGGCACCCAGCGCAGCAGAACAAGCCTCATGAAATCTCGGCTCTCCCTACTGCCGATCGCAGTCACGCATGTGCAGATGAATTAGATGCCCAAGGGGCAACCAGCAAGCCAGAGGCATTGGCCGGCAACGTCTCGGCCTGTGTCCCGGAAGTCGTATAGTATCACAAAAGCGGGCAGGAACGGTAGGCGGCAGCCGGTTCGGACGATCCTTGTTCAACTTTCTGAGGATCTCCAAGCTTTCCAGCCAGGCGGCGCCTCGCACGAGCTGCCAACGCCCGTCGCTGTCCTTTGGCTTCGCTCAGCCCAGCGCACCTTTCTGACATGCGGCCAATGCAGCACCGTAGGCAGTAATGTCCAGTACCAACCTGAATGCTAATCAACTGGCGAGTTCATGAACTGCGCCCGCCAAACAGCATGCTGACCCTCAGAAGCCTCATCTCCACTGCATCGCTGAAGTGCTGGAGAGCCCTGTCCTTCCCATGAGCGGAACCAATGTGCGATGTTGCATAGGCTATTCAGAGCTGAGCCAAGGATCCCAACGTGATCTGCGAAAGGCTTCGGTCATTGCATTCGTGAAACCTGCGAAAGAACATGTCTTCAACACCGACTCAGCTGGAACTGTCGTGAGTCCTGAAAAGAGCAGCCGATCACTCATGAGGCTCAGTCCGATGGTGAGAGTCTTTGGATTCTGACCAGGAGCTTGGCACATTTCAGCCTCAGTAAAGCAGAAGCGCATAGAAGCGCAGCAGAGCAGTTACCCAAGCATGGCAACGAGAACACGATGCTGTCCTTTGGGCCCCCCGGCCAGGAGGCTGCTAGAGAGCACGTGGTGTCCAGCTCTTTCACAGGCACCGGCCTGACTCACATGCGTACACCAAAACTTGGACACCGCCAGGCGCAGGACAAAGCATGCATGATAAGCCTTAAAAAAAGAGTGAGAAGTCGCTCGACCGGTTACTCCGTGATTGCATAAGCTATGATTTGGGAAACGTTGTTGCTACTTACTGTGCAGGTTGCTGGTGGAAGCTGCTTTGTGTGTGGCTGTTACGGCCGTGAACGCGCGGAGAGCTTCGCTTGCATGTTTACCCTGCACTGCATGGCATGCTTTTCACGAAGAGGCTCAACATGTTGAATGCATTCTTGGGTTCTATCAACCAGATTGAAAGGCGCAGCGCAGTGCAGGCAGTGATGGTTTCTGCCCAACAGAGTCCCATTTTCGCTTGTTGCTTTATACAGGTGGTAGCTTGACAGTCATGCCAGCTCAGAGCGAAGACTTTGCACCTTGCATACGGGAATGTGCAGTGTCCGAACAGTCTTCCAACAATCACAATGAGTAGAATGTCATGACCTAATTTGGACGAACGACTGGTTTCCCGTCAAGCTTGGTCTCGCCGTCATGACAGGGAAGGCTGCACTGCTACTATGTCTCTGATACTGATACTGCATATGCGCACATGTAGAGAGATGTCGCCCGATGCCGCCAAATGTCTATCTATACATGCAGATAGCAGATGGACACGACAGTTAGCACCAGCAAAAGAGCAGCAGTGGCAGAAAGAAGGAGCCAAAGCTCAAGATTCTTCGAGTCTCCAGCCGCCACCCCGAAGCACGCCACATCCGGGCTCAGTTGTCGTTCGGGCCTTGACATAGCAGAAAGCAAGCCGCAAGCCAGGCAGAACCGTGAAGCTCTTGCTGTGGACAACGCATGCGCCAGAGGAGTTCGAGCACCCGCTGCCACTGTCGGCCTGCGGCGCCTGTCGCTCGAAACTCGATGGCATCTCCTTACTCTGCACACGTCAGCCGAGTCGAGGACACGCAGACATTGCGGCCCCAAAGTGAGGCAGAGATGCTCGTAGTTGCTGGAGCTCCATTTCTGCCATGCCAACATATGCCAACCATTCTCGTCTCTCCTGGAGATCCTCTGTGGCGCAAGCGTTGCGCCTGCCAGCTGCGCTAAAGCCGAGCTCCATCGGCCCCCTTGGCCAGCAGCCTTTATGGCGGCAGCACCTGATATGTACTGCAATCCCCCAACACAAAAAAGCCCCTGCTTTCGCCCTTTCACTTGAGTAAACTTGGTCTTATGGTGCGTTCGCCGTTCACTAGCGGCTTAATTAGTTCCTGCGTCTCTTTGTTTCCTCGTAACTACCACAGCGCTCTCTTAGTTTCGCTCGCTTTCAATTAATGATCATGTAATGATTTGTGCTGAAGGCACTGAAAGGAACGAAACACGACGAATTTACAAATTATCGGACTCAACCTCCGAGCTTCGAACTGACTGCAGCTTCCCAGGAGCCTGCTTTGCAGGCCCGACATCGTGGCCGCGCATCCTGCAAGAAGGTCTTGGTCCCACTTCCGACGGTGCTTACAACAACACAGGAGCCCTTCAGGCAACTGGGCACATTCCGACTCCTGAGATGCAGCTGGTCTCTTGACAAAGCGCAGGGTCCGAGCAAGGAGAGCAGCTCTCCCCGTCCGCTGTGCCATCCGACAGACTCGTGAAATCCTGTGGGTGTTTATTGTGGATACGTCTGCCCAGATTGTGGCGACTGCTCTTGCTACTGTACGATTATGTACAGCAACCGGATCAGAAAGCCAATTCTTAAGCTGGCAGAGATGTCGCGGAGCGGAGTATTCCCCCTTTCCCGTAGCACCCTGCCCTGCAGATCTCGCGCTGATAATCCTAAGTGCATCCTTCTGCACGCCCGTTTTGGGAGCCATACCGCACGAAGCCGCATCCGAACCTCTGCTTGGGCTCCCTCATAACATAGCTAGAAAGTGCCATTGGAAGAGGCCCTAAAGGCGCCTGGCACCAGCGCAGAATCTCAGGCTCAAGCGAGCAATGAGGCATGTTGCTGCAGATGGTTCTGCACAGGTTACAAGTTGAATTCTTGCGCCCGTATCAAGCGCTTTACCTGATCAACTGCGCTCAAGATGCGTTAGCGAAAAGCGATGGCCAGCAATGTGGCAGGATCTGTTTAGATCTTCATCTCGTCGGCAAGCTTGGCTCTGTTGGACAAAAACCAAATTGTCACACATCCTTCACCGGCTAGCTCACCACCAAGCTCAGCTTCGTCTCGCGAGCATGCGCGAGAGTGCATTATCTACCAGGAGTCCGGAGTCCTTCTTCCAGGCTGCTTGGCAGCCGGCCTCTAGACTTTCGACTCCCTGAGGCTTTCGCCGTCCCGTTCTAAGGGACGTCACTTACGCCCTGCTCTTCCAGGAAGGCCTTCACTGCCTCAGACGCGCACTTTCTCAAAGTGTTGTCCCCGGGAGCTGGCGAGGGCCGGACGAGACAAGCATTGCGCTGGGCAAACTTCTTGCCTGGGACCCCGGCAAAGCAGGAAAGGGATTTGACCTGGAGCCCTGAACTCCCGAAAAGCCCTGCAACGGCGTGGGCCTCGGCACCAGTCGCCCTGGAAGGTCCGGCCAATGGCAGGCACCTGTCAAAGTGCCACGCAGTTGAAACCGGGCGCTAAAAGCCTTCCCATACTTGTCTGAAGTATTGTCGTTCTCCTTTGCTTCCGGATTCTGGCAACCTACTGCCCACAGTGTGGATCGAGAAGACCATGTGCTGTTGTCATGTCGCTGCAGAGAAGCAGTTTTCGTCCAGTTGGAACATGCAGACGCGCATGTCCTCCGAATTTGGTAGTTCGAGACGGTGCGGCAAATCGACTCTCAATAACCAAGGCAATGCTCGGGCAAGTGCAAATGCAGAGGTGGAAACTGCCACAGCCAAGCATCTCGATGCCGCGAAATTAAAAACATGATTAAGCTTCGTGACTGGCCACGACCAAAAAAGCGCCTTAAACGAGATCCGTTGTCAGAAACCTGCAACCCCGACTTGAATGCCAAGGGCCCTACAATATTGGCGAACTTTGCAAGCGTCGTTCCGAAACGCGTCTCCGTCGCACCGCCGTAATGCAAAGCCGATTAGTAGCCCATAGCCTATAGCCGATAGCTGCTACCGAAGCACACCGTTGTCTCATGTTGAGATGGCTTTAGCTAGAGTGTTACAGCTAGGCTGGTGTTCAAACCAGATGCTTGGCAGTTGCTCTTCTAATACACTTAGTCTTCCTTGGATAGCGTCCTGTGCCCTCCCTCGTGGGAAGCCTGTGCAAAGGCACGGAAGACTTGTGGATCAGCTGGTGATGGTTCGTACGTCCACACCTCAGCAGCAGGTGAGCTGCGTGAGTTGAGCGCATCGTCATGACTGCGCACGTGCCAATCAAGCATCTGAATAGCTGCCGATATTTCCCTAGCTTGCGGGAATAGTACAGGCTCGAAGCGGTAGTAGACTAAAGCTTTGTTCGATCAACTGAGCTCCAATCCCAAACCTTTTCCCCAGCGGCGGTGTCCTTCTTGCATGGGCTAGACGGGCAAACAGCCCTCGGAACACCACATGGGTGCTGCCCTTGGCTTTCTCACGGGAGTTCACGGGAGAATCGGGCGCAACTTGCAACTCGCATGCCATGGTCTCCTTGGAGAAGGTTTTCTGCAGCATGTTCTGAACCTGCGGGGATTTCCAGACCGTGTCTCTTCGCAGAGCATGCGTTGTCTGAGTCGAAAGCTCCACCCACAGGCACGTGAGACACCGAGCCGTGCGCCTGCATCAATATCGTCTTGTCCTCCACTGGATGCCGTGGCTCACTTCCCACAGATTCCTCGGCGCAGCACCCGGCAGCTTAAGGGTGCTTTCATGATGCCCCATGACAAGTACATCCTGAGTCCTCCACGCCTGGGCTCGTGGCAACCTCCTCAAAAGGCAAACGGGTCACACCGGTCCTTGCCTGAAGCCTTAGAGCGCTCGCCTTCGGTGACAACAGCTGCGGCGGCAGTGGTTCCGCTGCTTGCGCCGTGGTGCTGAGGGATGCACCCTGGAAGCCCTCAGCATCCGAGGATGACAAGCTCGTGTCCGAGCATGTCTTTCTACAGGAATTCTTCGAACCGGAAGGGGGCATTTCACAAGTGTATGTGGGAGCGGAAGCTGGTACGCTCCGACACTCAGCTCCTGGCTGTGCCCAGTCCGAAATACCAAAGCACGCGCTGTGCGGCGTCGGACACGGCATCAGACACGGAAGCGCACCAGGCGCCCGCAAACTGATGCCTGCCAAGCAGGGTGGTCTACTTCTGTGGCTGTGCAGGACAGCCAACACGAGCCAACAACCAGGCGAGGAGAACGGCACCCGGTTCAGCTTGAAGCAAAGAACCATGCGGAATTCCTCCCAGCTGAAGGCATTCATTGAATGATTGCATGGATAATTTCGCTTCGAGGTAAGATAATTTGAAAGGACGGCCACCGTGACGTTGCCAACCAGTGGACAGCGGCTTGTCAGCTTCCCAGCCCCGCCTGTCCCACTGCTGACAAGCGGTCCTGCCACATCACCGGCGGAAAACATCATTGAATATCAGTTAACCAACCGTCTAGCCGGCTTTTCACTACCTATACTTTGCGTCACAGGTCCTCCACCTCACCCTCCACATGTTCTCCCTGCCACGACCTGTTGTGTGCATCCGGGCACGGTAGGCTCTGATTCTATAACCTTGCGCCTGCCAGTCTGCATTGTGTCTCGCATTTGGCAAAGCTCCTGGAAGAGTGCACCAATTTTGGGCGAGATGCCTGCTGCCAGCCCTTCCCCAACCATAGGCGACCCAGCATGCCGTGACATGATCCGTCCATGCTCCTGCTTTACCAGCTCCTTAGAGCTCTGTCGGGGGACACTCTTCAGAATCGGGAAATAATAGTCGAGGCAAGATGCATCCAACGTCAGGGCTGGCCCTTGCGGAGCTTGGAGGCCTCCATGCCCACATGCCCAGAATACGTGACAGCTGACATCCTGGTGTCGAAAAAAAAACAGCTGCTGTGCCTGACTGGCTGTCGTTTCTGGACATGTAGCGTCGAACCCGCTCAGCCTGGGCAGCAGGCACCGAGCAGGAGCTGGAGCAGGGCCGTCGTGCAAATGCACATGGTCTGCACCAGCTTTTCACTCTGGCTCGGGAATCTGTGCAGCACGTGCACGCTGGGAGGCGAGGAATTTGCTTGTTAGCAAATGCGTGGCTTCTCTGCCGTCGCTCGAGGTCGCCTCTGCGAGAGGAGAGTTGCGACAAGATGCAGGTCGACACTTCAAGATACTGTCCTCCCCGTTCATCCGGAGAAGCTGTTGGAGCATCTCCTTCATCCCCTGGCAAAAGCTCAAGTTTCGCAGACTCCGCCTCGGCCAAACCCAAGTTCGACAGCGGGGATTCCTCGTTCACGCAAAGATCATTCAGTGCACTCCTGAGCTTTGCATCTTCGCACTCTGCTGTGATGCCACAGAAGGTTTGCAACTCTGCCCAAGGTTCAGCGAGTCTGGCTGGTCGCGTCGTGCGAAGAAGAGCTTCTCCCTCGTCTTCTGGGGCAGCACAGGTAGAATGGCCTTCAGCACCGGTGCGATCTTCGGCTGGTTGCAAACGACGCTTCCAAGCCACCTTCATCAGAACCGACATCACAGTCGGCACATCCACAAGAACTATCCGGTGGAACCTGGGCTTTGTCATGTCCGACAAGGAATCAATTAGTCTTCCAGTGCCAGCATGGACCAAACCAGCCACAGTTACCGTTCTGCGAAATACGAGTTCAGGCTGCCTGCGACGTTGAGGTAAGGCATAAAATTCAAATTCAGAAGTGGTTGGTAGCCGTGGGCATCCAGCACGTAGTCCATTCTTAGTTGCGAGTTCCCACAGGGGACTCAGGAGACACGTGCAGAGACAGGGCGGGCGCGAAGGCAGTCTTAATTTCCTCGATGGGGGGAGCGCCAACATGAACATGGCAGCAGTAGCAGCATGAGGAGCTGCAAGCGCTGTAGTCGATAGTAATTCGTTTTCACGCATGGTGGATCGCACCCCCTCCCGGAAGGGAGCCTTGCTGTTTTGAAGGGAGGGCGGGCAGGGGTAGTCGGAGGAATTACAGCACGAGGAGTACGGACATGATGGCAAAAAGGACGACCACGACAACGAGCAAAAACATGTAGCAGTAGTAGCAGCAGGAGAAGCACCGGTAGGGACTTGTGTAGGTCATGATTTCCGGGGCTGAAGTGGAGGGGATTTTGATAATCGGTGTGAGGGAGCTTAGTGTCTACTAAAAAGACGGGAAGAGCGCTTGAATTTCTTAGTTCTCTTGGCAAAAAGAACAATGCGTTTTTCTTGCACATCCCGCCTTGCCGGGATTTGTATTATGTCTATGAGTCTATGAGGTCGGGGAAGAAGGGGAGGGTTCTCCTGGAGGAAACGAAAATTAATCATGATACTGCGCCTAAGGGCGGGTTACCGAACAAAAACAAAGGCCCAGTATTTGTTCGCGTGGTTGCTGTGCAGAGATGCCAGATGAACCGAGCTGCTGCGCGGTGGGCCCGGCCTCCTCTAGTGCCTTCAAGCCGCCAGGGCAACCAAGATAAATGGACAAAGCAGTGGCTGACACTTACAGCGGAACCTTGTGCCAGACACACGCCAAGATGACTCCGGCAACTTCACCACGGCGCTGGTTCACGCAGCCCGAGTACACTAAAGGCCTGTGAAGGATCAAGCTCATTCAAGCTGGGAGCAGTACTGCTATCCGCTATCAACTTTCTGACGCAAAGCCTCACTGTCTATCTATGCACGTCGTCAGGTCCACCGGCAGTTCTTGAAAACCACGGTAAAGCTGTCAAACCTTCCTTGACGAAATCGTCTAACACACACAGAACAGGGTACAAAGCGTGGCACACAGCGGACCAGAGTACTGAACGCGAAGCAGTACACAATACCCTGTGTGGGCCTCGACTCTTGGCCGATCGCAATGACCCGAGTTTCTGCGGTTGGCAAGCTCTCAGCTTGTGACTGCAACCAACCATCCAAAGTGTCCCGCCTGCAATCAGGGCGGATCAGGGTGGTGACACTTTGCAGCCCCTCCGCAGCCAAGCAGCTTCCAAACAACTGACTCTTTGAGTTTCTTGACAGCCAGCTCTTCGTCACCTGCAGGTCACGCATTTCAACACAGCATGTTCCCTCATGCCATCTCGTATCGAGCCTTCAGTGGCTCGAAGCATCCTCTGTACATGGCCAATGCTGATCCAGCTTGCCGATCCGTCTGGAAAATCCTGTACGACTTCGGTAACCACGGCATCCAGATCGCTTCCCTAAGCCAGCGGCAAACAAAGACGAACTGACCAAATGCATTGCTTCTGTTGCGGCTCTGGTGCTGAAGGCGTCGAGTCCTCACTGCGGAGGCCCGATGGCGGCTCTTCCTTCTCCATCTGAGGGATTGACGGCGGCTTTTTGCGGCTTTTGTCTTCGTGAAAAGAATGGCCTCTGGAATGGAGGACAGCCTCCGGTTGCGGAGGTGAAGGCAAGCAGCTTCTGAGCCAAACACCGAGAAAACAGAAGCAGCTGGAGCTGGACAGCTGCACGAGCGTGAGCGCAGCAAGCAATCTTCATGATGCAGACTATGACTTTGACATCGTGGTTGTTCAGCTGGCTTTCAATCACAGACGGCTCCCGCAAGACAACAACATCTGAATGTCGTACTCTCATGTACTCTCAAGCGCTACGGCTACAGCATCTCCGCGGTGCTGTCGACTGAGCCACTGGCGGTGTCCCTCTGTGCCTCAACGAAGCACATGTGCAGTGGTGCACGATGGTGCACGCTCCTAAGGTTGCCAGAGTCGGTGCAGTGTGGATGCCTTCTTCTTGGAGGTTTGCCAACTGCCACGAAAGAAGTGCGGCACCTCGGTATCGAGTCATGGTCAAGGGTTGCCACGTCGGCCGCACTACACGAACCATCCGCCTCCTTGAAGATGAAAGACACAACGGCACGGAATCTGAGCCAAGAGTCATTGCCCATTCTCTTACAGTTTCGCCGCACAGTGTCTTGCTACAAGACCAAGCGGGGCTCGCACTGAAGTAGCGAATCCTCCTGTATGCGGTTCTCGAAATTCCACCTCATTTCTGCGAACCTCTGTTACGGTCCCACTGAAGAAAGCGTGGAGCGACCAAGAACGCCTCTAGACTGGGCTCGTCACATCAGTATCCGTGCATGCGGAGGAAAGTCAGAACAGCTTTGGACGTACTCCTTGCAGTGCGGCGCAACTGTGCTGAAGTGGGAAAGGTTCGGAACCGTAGCATGGCCTGCAGGATCGACACTGCATTGTGCATTCCTTCTCCAACGACATCCTGACCTCCACACACTCTCTGTGCTTTCTGCAGACGGAAAGCCACCAGATCTACACAGCCACAATTCCACAAACAGATTCACCGGCTGTCTGACGACCCGTTTCTTGTGGCCTTGCATGGATCCTGCAGGCCTTCCACACTACGTCCGCTACATTCTTGGTAAAACACTGCGGCGAAGACCAACACCCGCCATGAACACCCGGAAGCCTGCGCTCCCCAGCGCTTAAGCAGGCACCGACACAAAGCACAACTTTTGCACCGCAGGGACAGCTGTACTGAGTCTTGTGCTCATGTGCTTGAAGCTTGTAGTTGGCTGTCCACCTCAACGATCGTAGCGTAGTCCACGGAATCATGGAGTCCTGCGTCTCCCTCTGCGATGCCACCGTATGGTGCGTTGCTCGCAATCTGTTGTACACCATGTACCATCGCAGATATTGCGCAGTGCTCTGCATCCATGCCACCATTCTTGCAGTGGCTTGGTGCATTCGCTGCAGGCTCTGCCCAAAGACCAATGTTTCGCCTGCATCGGCAGCAGTAGGACCCAGTAGGACACAGGCTGAATCCTGTCCGGCCCGAAACTATGACCCTGACCCAACATCCTATCCAATCAGTCTCACTGAAAACCCACATCCAATGCTTCAGGCATCGCCTTGCGCAATGTCGAAATCTCTTCTGCCATGCCCACCCTGGCAAAGATGGCGGCAGATTCGGGACCATGTCAAAGGTGGAATCCTTGCTGGCGAGGTAGCGGACGAAACGCACGCTGGCGGGCAACGTGCTCGTCAAGTACCTGCGTCACAAAACCACTGGAGATTGACTGAAAATCAGCTATTTGATCCCAATGTCTAAGTCTGGGGATTCCAACATGCAGTGGGTTCGGGTTTGCAACCTCGCGATCCTGATATTGCTTCACTGGTGCCTGCATTGGCCACTGGTCAACCACCATGGTCGTGGACAGCCCGCAGTGATCGTGTACTTCGCTTGATGCCCATCCACACCTGCCGGACTCTTACTAGTGAAACGGAGAAGTGAGAGGCTTCAGCGTGAGCGTGGAATTGCTCGAACCGTGCCTACCATATTGTCCAAGGCGGCGTAGTTTGCCAGGACCCCACCGAGTGAATGACCCGTGTAATACATCTCTTTAGGATCACAATCTCCGCTTTGGTACGCATCGTGAATCGCCTTCTTTAGGCCTTGCTCCAGCAATCGATAGCCGCGCAGCCACGAGCTGGCGACGAGGATCTTGTGCTTCGAAAAGAACTCCTTCGCGTTGATGGAGTCGAAGTTGGCCTGCCATCCTCGCTTGTTGGCCGTCCCACGGAAGGCAACCCAGCACTTGCCGGCGAACTGGCCATCCTCACTGCGTACCAGGCGCGCCAACATGAAGTCCGCCCCATCCGTATCCGGGCCGGGCACTTCTTTCAGGATGCGGCCGCATGGACTGGGCTCCGATGCGCTTTGGTAAGTGGAGGCCGCACACTGCAGGCCCCGGACGGAGAGTGCCCACTCTTGAGGAGACAACTGCGTTAAGTCATCCGTGGGCCCGCGGGGAATCGATGCGTTGCCCTTGGCCTTGGCCGCCTTGGCCTTCTGTAGCAAGGGGCACTCCTCCGGCTCAAGCTCGCTGTTTGCAAAGTTTGCAAGCAGCACCAGAAAAGGGACCAAAGCCAGGCTCCTTGCCATTGCTCCGCGGGCCGCTGTTGATCCCCACTGATGGACAGCTGAAACCGGTTCCAAGCACAAGCCGAAATTTTACATCGGTTTGAATGAACATCCCACGCAAACTCTTTTGGGCGCAATGCTCGCGGTCAAGCTCAGGAAGGTTGACTCCAGGGACTACAGTACAAGTACTGCAGCCACCAAAACTACATGTAATTACATGTAGTTAAAGTAGTTCATGATTTTCTCTTCATCGTCGTCGTCCTCCTCGAAGCTGCTCGCGGAATACTTCCTGCGACAATTGCAAGCCAAAGTTGATCAACAAAGCCAGTGTACAACAAGCAAGCAGCACGCACTCTATGCTATGAATGCCGTACATCTGCGAACATTGAACGCACAGCTTTAGCTTGCAAGCGGAGCCTTTTCTTGGTTTCTTGGTGAGTCCGAGGTGAAACTGACGTCACTGAGCCTCCGAGGTAGCCCCCAGGGCCACGGGCCAAGCAGTCGAAGCTTGCGGGCCTCGAAGGAGTTTGGCTCTGCTCGCCTGCTCGTTGGCCTCCGGTGTCCCTTTTCATGAGGCGAGCGCGTGATGGGCGCCAGCTTCAGAGAGGGCATCGGGACCTTGGTCGAAAAAACGCCTGACCGGACGGCGTCCACGGACACCGAACAGCCGCTCCCAGCACTGCGACGTCGCTCGCTAGGCGCCCTGCCCAGCTGGCTGACGCGGCGGTGGGATCCTTGAGAGTGGGGTCCCCCTTGGGATTTTTCTCGCTAGGGTCCAGTGAAGAACGAGGGTTTCGGCAGCGTGAAGATGGGGGCAGATTTTGCATCCTGCTCCGCCTAAATGTTGTCATTGTAGCTGTGCTCAGGAAGCAATGCTTCCAACCCCAACCGGTTGGCTTCGCCATGTGCAGGTTTGTTCCGAACCTCATTTTCCTGCGTGTAGAAGTTGGGCCTCAGACCATGCTTGCAACGGAAGGTTTTCTCAAGGAAAACAAACAACAGCTCGGTGGATTCTGAACTTCGGGGCATCTTCAATGACTGGCCTCGGCCCTAGCCGAATCGGTCAGAGGCTTCCACAGAGACCCTCCACCATGCTGTGCTGCTAGCCTCTTGTATTTTTTGGGGGCAGTGTGCAAATCGCATCCGGGCTGAGGCGGAGGGAACGAGGTGTTTATAATGAAGGAGGGCACCAAGAATCTGTCATGGGGCCTCCACGTCTGCAGTCAACCGAGCAGCGACGGCATCTTCGCGATCGGCGCCGTGCAACTCGGGGAGCAAATGAGAGACCCGTCGGACGGGCTGCGGCACCGAGTCCCATGCCATGGAGTCGATCACCCAGGAAGCCCGATCCCGTGAGCGAAAGATGTGCCACACCTCAACAAGAACTTCCCCTCTGACCCTCTTGACTCTTGCCGTTTCCCTTGTGCCTCCACTCTGCCTTCAAATGGCTGCTGGACCTGAGCCCCCGACGGGCCCAGATGCATCCAAATATCATTTCACGAGGAGACTCTCGTGCTAATATATATGCTAGAACTACTATGTTCATTCAAGGTCCTGCTTGAATCTAAGATCGCAGCCCAGCAAGGGGAATCGTTGTGAGGCTCCTCGCGTAGGGCATAGACCTGTGAGCTGCGGAGAAGGAGCTTTGCAGTGACCAAGTCTCCTTTGAATCTTGGCCACAGGGCTTGAAGTGACATTAGGGGCTTCAGAACCCGTCTTGTCCAAGTTCGCGACGCCATTGATCCCGAGGTGGTCGCCATCCTTCCTCTTCATCATTCCGGACTGGCAGCACCGCCGCCCCAGCCCCACCCGAGGACGGTCCGGAACGCCCGAGCCCATGTAGTGCACTTTGTGGAGCTGTTAAGCGAAGCTGGCAGTACCCGAGGCGATAGAGCCGGATAAGCTGCTCGCGCGCAGCAGCCAGAGACCTGGCATCGTGAGATGCTGGGAATCGGAAACTCGCTCCTTGCATCTTTCGGCCTCTCCGATTCCTTTTGCACACTAAAGCCGATGCGCACACTTGTGCAGGTGAGACAGACTGCTGCCTTCTCGCAAATGAACTGGGTAGCAGAGTGCTCTGAATGCTTGCGCGCTGGTCTGGGGGCTTCATTGCGAGGAAGCAGCCGATCTTCGAAGTCACCGGTGATGCGTCTCTCCTGCTCCTCCTTTGCGGTGTGGATCTGCAGTGTTTGGACCAGTGTTTCCTCAGCACTCGAACGGTGCCTCCTGATCTACAGCCTCAGCCTTGAGTCCGGACCAAGTTGCCGCGAAGGGTTCGGCTGGTCTCGGCTGAATAACCTTAAGAAGGCAGTCCGCTGAAAGTCCGTTACCGCTTCATGTCTCCAACCCCCCACCGCCTCCCCCCACCCACCCTCCAGCCCTGTAGTTTGCAAGCGAGTGGCACAGCGCAAATCGAGGCGCCTTCCAGAACTCTTCATTCTCCGCTTTTGTGCTATTCCACTCCTCGGCGGGGCTTTGCCAAAGGGGACAGTTGCCGGAAGGCCCGAGGCAAGGCCACATGACATGGTGCCCATGTCTTAGAGTTGTCTGGAATTCAGTTGCTGTGATCCGCTGTGCCTCTTGGCGGCGTTGCTTGCCAGCATCTGATATATATATATATTCTCTCATTTCCAACTCGCATCTTGTATATTACACTTGATACAGCCGCACTGTCATGGAAGTGTAAGAATATGCCGCACGAAAGTATTGCAGAATGTAGCGGCTGCTAATGCCGTTTACGATCTTCAAGTCATGAGAGATGGTCGGCTGTGTACAGGCATTGACTATATCATACTGCTAGACTGGTGTGATGAAATTACTATTGCGAGCGCATAGTCGGGCATGATTATACGGAAACCTTAGCTGTGCTCGCATGTCTCCGTCTTTGTTTTGGAGGGATAGGGCTGTTGGACAAAGGTTTGCAGCAATCATGCTCAGCATGTCTGCAACATTCTTCCGCTAGGTCGCTACAGTATAGGTTTGTTGTCTGGTGCCAAGATGTGCTACGCTTGGTGCTGTGGACTCTTCGAGTTTGACCGGTCGGAACTTGGAATGACTGCAGGCTCGTCAACTTTTCAGATATCATTCGCATGTGCAACTTCAACCACCCAATCCGGATCTTTGATCTAAATTCATGAACCCAGAGGGCAGTTTCCTGACCTCCCTTTACGCCCCGCCTGCATTTCTCGCTGGATGCGCAGCTTGGCCTTGCATTCCAAGTCATGATGTGTTCATGTTCAGTGTTCTGACCTTGAAATCTCTCGTGTGCCGCCTGCACTGATCCTCGCTGTGGCTTCTCCTTGGCCTTTTCCTTGCCCATCATGGCCTGATTCGGATGATGCCACGTGACTCCAACAGCAGTCAGAGAGTCGTAGGCACGCTTGCACTCCGAAACCAAGCAGAACAACAGATATGGCTTAAAAAACTCCAAGTCGCTAGAACCTCTTTCTCGGTCATGAGACCTGCTAAGATACAGGGCAGGTTGCGTGTTGCTTGACAGGACAGACGGCCGGCCTGAACTGCTTGATGCCTTGCGAGCTGCCTCCTCTTCCACGGGTACAGACCGGGACCGAGAGCGCTGCCTTATGCTGCACAACGCGGAAGGACATGAAGGGCAAAGCCAGGTGCAGAGTCGTGCAGAGCCAAATGCCTCTTACGCGGATGCTTCTCCGACTCCTCAGACTTTTCCTCCTCCTTGGTATAGGTGACGAGAGTGGACCATCCCCATTGAACGTATCAAGGCGGGTTTAAACAAGCCACTTCATCCCCTCGTCTGCGTTTCTTCTTCTTCTTGTGGTGCTTCTGGTGGGCCTGCTCCTGCTGACACGGCTGTTCGATCAGGCGGTCGATTACACCAGGTCTGGCCTGAGCCTTCTTCTTCTTTTTGTCCTCCTCCTCTCTTCGCCTTGGAGCATTCTGCACATGCCTTGCTTCGTCATGGATCAGCTGAATTCGGACAAGGCTCCAATCTGTGTTGGGCGCAGGCGGTGCAGGTGACTGCCGCGGCAGGCTCTGCCACTGCCCACTTTGACTGAGAGGCTCTGGCTCGGCCGCCTGCGCCTCCCGTCACGTCCCGGCCCAATGCAGACCCAAGAGAGACGTCCCGAGTGCGCCTGTGGTAGGGGTGCCGGGGCCCTCTCCTTCTCCGGTTCCGGCGCCTCGAGTTGTGGCTCCGGCTCTGGCGGAGTCAGTCCGGCCTCAGGGGCCCCAAGGATGCTCGAGGACTCAGAGCCGACGAGCCGACGCTGGGCATGGGACCACCTTTTGCAGCGGATCCACCACCTCCTCGCGCGCCATCACCTCGCTTCTTCATGGCTGGTCCCGGATTGCGGCTGCGGATGTGTCAAGGCCGAGGAGCTGGTCCCAAAGGAGCAAGGCCGGCCCGCTTCTTCTGCTTCTTTTTCTTCATCTCCTGACCGCCAGAATCCGCCAAATGCCGGGGGCCGACACAAGAGTCGGGAGCAAAGCAAACAGGGGGTGTCGCCGTTGTGGCCTCCAGCATCTCCTGCTCCAGCTGTTCCTCCTTCTCCTTTTGCTCTCGGAGCCGTGTCTCCAGGTCTCGAACCCTCAGCCAAGCTGCTGGCAGCGAGTGAATGCAACTGAAGCCTTCTGGGTTCCCCGACCTTCGCATCTTTTCCATGACGTTGCCGCTGCCCTCTCAGCGTCAAGCTCGCAAAGAAGACTCTGAGGCTCTCCGGGAACTAGCATGCAACTCACTTCGGCCATGCTGGGCTCTAGAGTCATTTGGAGACCGGAGACAGTGGGTGGGTCTCAAGTTCCGACTTGGTTCCTAAACCCAAGTCGCCAGACAAGGCATAAACGGCCATAGCCAGAACATGAGTGCCCAAGCCTCTGCGGCACCGTCTGCATCACGTTGGACGCGCTCATCTTTCAACTGCCGATCCCGCTGCGAGCGCCTATCAGTCACACACACACACACATCCACATTCGTTGCTCTCAGATCCGATGAATATGCGAAACATGGCCCGACTGGGTTCGAAGGAACGGCATCATGCGGTTGGCAAGCCAGTGGGGCCAAAAGCGGGCAATTCCAAGGCATCAACGATAAATCCAATCAAGTGACTGAGAGAGTCTCATGCGGTCCGCTTCGAAATCGGCCAAGGGTCCGATCCTGAGCGGATCGGCAACTGAGTGTACAAGCTGGAGGCACGATTCCACGCATGAGATCTGCACCCGAACTTCTTGTACTTCAAGAAATTCCTGTCGGAGGACTGCAATCGTCTGCAAACTATCTTCACTGCCAAGCGACGTGTCTCTCTGTAAACTCTATGCAAATCCGAGTAATCGGGCAGATCTGGTGAGGCCCAGATACAGAGAGGCCCCTTATGCATTGGATGCTGAATTCTGCAACAAGGCAAGTTGATGTCGCTTGACATCGAGACCTGACGCCTCTCCTTTCGGTATGGCTTGATCTTCTTGGGCTTGAGTTGTGGTTTTGGGGCGGCTAGATGTCTCTGCAAGAAAGGCTGGTGTGCACTCTCTTGGTTCGATGGGACAAGCAAGCACCAGGCCCTGCACAAAGTCTGCGACACTGACAAAGGCATTTCTAAGGCATCCTAGAGATCCTAGTTGCACTGACGGCCAGTGGCTCCGCTCCTCTCGCAATCTGTGCGGCAGTACGGGGAGATGAGCGAACCGGTGAGCCGCTGAGCTCTTCAAAGCCAAGAATGTAGCACATCAACACATCTCTTCATGTCGTGACGTACTGGTAGTCAGCTAGTCCGGGTTGTGAGGTGGCGTTGAATGAGGAGGTGTAGCTCTGTCATTGAGAAAGTCTTGCCATTCCCATTACCCGTCCTGGCGACAGGCTCGCTGCAGCCCATGTCGGTGCAAAGTCTCTCAACCACATCCTTGTTCCTGGCATCCCTGGCAGAGGAATTCAGGGTGCATTTGGTACACATGTCGAGTCGAAGTGCCTCTCGTTGCGGTTGAAGGTCACCAGGTCCCGACCTTGCCGTCTCCACGTCTCCGGCGCCGGTCCCACCACAACAACACACAGCGGGACAAAGCACACGCATCTCAGTGCTATCCCCGTCGCTCATCGCCCGCGTCCAGCACCTGCGGTGACGCAGATCATCGAGGCAATCCATGGCAATCACACAGCACAGCCACACTCTGACAGGCGCCTGAAACACCACCGCGTGCAGTGGGAAGCGCCCAAGCGCCCCCGCAGACGGGCGACAATGCCAAAGGCGCTTGTGGGCGGAAGGGGTGATTTTGTGTGGTCAGGGCTTCGGTTGTGGGAAGTTTCGGTTCTCATGCATTGTTGCCGTTTGGCCCGGCTGTTGACTCTGAGTGAATAACGTCGTCTAGAACCAGATACATTCTCTTGAAGGGGTGCAACAAGCTCTTCCAGATTTTCTAAATTCGAGAAATTGATTCAAGCCAATCCTCGGAAATAGATGTTTGCTATTAGTCGTCTGTGACTGTAAAGCTAGTCAATGACTGTAAAGCTAGTTGAGACCATGTTTAATTTTAGCCAGTGGCTGCAAAGCATGGATGCCTGCCATTCTCAACTTTGCAATGCAGGGCCTTACAAGACCCATTGTCGTAGCAAAAAGCATGCCTGAATGAGCTCTGGTACCAGTCCCAGCAAACCTCACATCAACAGGGTCTCCGAGCTGCCTTCCCAAGCTCATTGCCCATGCAACAGGTGGTGATGCGCATTGATGCGCATCGCAGGGCCCCAATAGCAAGCTACGGTCAAGTGGCTTGCTTTGACGGCACGGGGCTCGATCTCCGCCAAATCTACCTTCCGAGGGAGAAAGATGAGAAACTCAAAAGAGGGCTGCATGCTGCAGCATGCTGTGGCATGCCATGTGATGCTTTCCGCCTCCAGCTCCAGGTCGCCGATAGGGCCTGAACCGATCCACAGGCCATTTTGTTGGACCATCTCATCTTTGAATCTCCGGTGTCTGAGGTCGCCACCCTCACCATCGGGTATGTCGGGTACCGGCGGGGCCTTTAGAGTGCGTGAGCTGTCGATTCATTTCAAAGGCTTCACCTCGTCACTTCACGTGCCTCCTCAACAGAAGCGCATCGCAGGAAATAGCGCTGTTCAGTATCCATGGCATGGCCGCTGCCCGACTGCCAGCCCTCCCCTGTGCCGACATCCATCGGATACAAAAACTGGTTTGCTCGAGTACGATGATGGTATCGGAAGACTGAAACTCCAGCATGCGAAGCTTCTACTCGTACAGTTCTTATTCACGGGCCGGGCAGCTCGAGCCGCATGAGAAACCTTGTGGAAACGACAACCTTTCCGTCTCTCATGGAGACCTCGTCAGCCCAAACCACTCACGAAGATCCGCCGCAACCCATCGCGTTCAGCTCGCATGCCAGAATTGGGGTCAACTACTTTTTGTGGCTTGTTTGCAGCTTTTGTGTGCTGAACACAACATCTTTTGACGGTATGCGTTGTGGAACTCGGCATAACCTGCTCAGCCGATTACGTTCTCTTGCTTGCAGTTCGCATCTGCTTGGTCCACCTGCGTCCGGTGCATGCTAACTCGCAACACACAAAAAGCCAACCGTCGCAGCGCGGGTGCCCGATGCTGGAATAGAAGAGCCTGCAGAAGGCCCCAGAGAAGGTTCAGAGCCAGCAGAACAAGTGTGGAACTTGATTTTGTACGGCATCAGAATCAGTCGCCGCGCGCACCACTGGGGAGACATTGCAGCCCCGCATGGCCCTTTACAGCCCCTGCAGATACCGGCACTGTGAAACAACGAACGGACAGCAAGCAAGTTCCGGTGGCTCAGAACTCGCCGAGTTCGGCCTCAGATGTCACAGTTGCAAACACGGTGTTCCGAAACTGCTCTCCTTCTCGGAAACCGGCAGCCGGCCAGCGCGGCCAGCACCAAAAGTTCCAGCAATTCTTGGACCAACCCTTGTCCCAGCGGTTCCTGTGCATGACATGGCATACTGCAGAAACCGAAGCATAAACCTGGATCGACAACAGTGGCTCTCCTGGTCTTTTCATAGATAAATGCTTTTTGATCGAAGAGCTCGTTGTACCTGATAGTTGAGGAGCTATGGCAGAATAAACATGGCGTCTGTCTGACTTTTGAACTTTCGGGCACTCGTCAACGTCGAGAGTGTCGACGGGAATGCCGTCGCCCAATGAGGTGTTGTTTGCCTTCGCTATGTCTCGATGCAACACACGGAGCACCGCCTGGCGATACCCCTTGATGCATGAGCTCCGAGCAATGTAGTTGGAATGGTGCTTCCACTCTTGAGCCAACTCATTCCTGTCGCAAGTCCATCTACCCTGTACAGTCGATACCCAGTCTTGTGCGTTCTTCCTTGCTTTCGGCGAATCACACATTGTAACGCCCACGATCCTCGAGACCAGGCCAATGTGGATCCGGAAAATTGGCCTGAACCACAAAAAGGCTGTGCTGCTCGGCTTGTGCTGCAGCTGAAATTCTCACCGCTGAGGCTGCGGACACTTCAATGGCTAGCAGGCCCACAGAGAAAACAAGATGCAATCTCGGATGCAGAAATCGCACTCTTACACGTGCAGCTGCTCAAAGACCAACAAACACACCCAACGCCACAGTCAAGGCTGGAGCAGCACCGCAGTCTCCTCTTCCCAAAAGCCCTGTGCAAGAAAGTGAAGGATGCAGAAACAATCACAGACATCTCAAGCATGCCAAGGCCTTCTGTGCTAAGAGCAAAGCAAGGTAGCCGTCCAGGACGACTCCAAACCTCGACATGGTCCATCGTCAAACGGACGAAGGCCCAACGAACACCCAAAGCCAACGCCTATTTAGTCCGGTGAACAGCAGTTTACTGAGGAAGTGGCATGCCAAAGACACAATGGCCTGAGAAGGGCTTGCTATCAGCAACGACGATCCCATCTACGAAAACAACACTACTGTAGCTTGGCTCCCGGCACACAAGCATCAGCACGAACTCCCTGTGGTTCAGGAGACCTCGAGGCAAGCTTGCAAGACGGCATTGCAGTGCATTCAACAAGTCTGAGAGATGCACCAATGGTGTTATTCACCCACTTACCTAAGTCCAGCACAGCGCAATAGCCCCGCGACCACATCACGGCGACCCACCCCTTCCTACCACCAGCTGCTGCTAGCGCGGCAATAGTGGTCGTAACGTCGGATCTTTCGATCATACTGCCAAGACCTGGGAAGCCAAACGAAAATCCGACTGCCCAAGAGCCCAAAGCCTACAGTAGCAACAAGGGGCCGGACTCATGTGCTCGGAAGGGGCGGTCACCCTGCTCCGGCAGTTTTCAAGCGCACTTGCTAGCTCCGGAATTGTTCCGACACTGCCGGGGACCTGCTCTAGGTCAATCCCGTCGAGCGGGATGTTTCGGGTCTTCTTCAGTTGACCGGGGTCTGCCACAGCGCAGTACCTGGAATGTAAAATCGCGGGATGCCACGAACGGAACCAAGTAGAACCAAACAAGCCCGCGCTGCCCCATCAAGACCACCGTGACAGTAGCGAGCCCCACCTGGAAGGCAGTCATAGGAACCTCGGCAGCGTACTCCATATCGATAACATCAGGTACAGCCTGCGGTGAGACCCTGCCTCTGCATGGGGCCAAGTCTGCAAACGGCAGAACAAGGGTATCTGCACCCAAGCCATGCAAATGCACCCAGCAACCTCGACGACAGGTCCAATGGTCCGCATTTCGCGATCAGAACTTGCCGTTATTATTCTTCTCAGCTGCGGGCAACGGACACGACCAGTGCCTGCGATCAAGCACAGTGCTACGGAGGCCAACTTCGTTACGAAACAAGTCGGGGCGGCCGGAGGCAACGCGGGTTTGAAGTCGTAGCCCCAATACACGTATTCTCTGTTCCTCGCTGAGTGGTCATCGTCTGGCTCAAGCCCCTCTCATGCCACACACGCTTTTGAGGCAGCAACGGTTCTTCGCCCTCCATGGCCTCATTCGCGCACACACCGTCGAAACACTGCTCCCAGCCAGCAGGCTACAGAATCTTCTGCAAGTGCGCTTCGACGAGCGACAACAGGCCGGGCCGGCAGACAGCGCGGAGGACTGTTCACCCTGTGACGTCGGCGACGACGGAGCCAACAGCATCCTCGGACGAGCGAAGCAAGCGCAGTCAAAGCGCGTGTCTTGCGCGACTCGTTATGCACTCCTCTCTGAGTCAGCGCACGTTGGCGGTTGCCGCGGGGGCCAACCTGTCTCCAAAGGCTGCATTATCATTGCTGTCTCGAGCCCGCAACACTGAGCAAAGCAATGCTTGCACAAATAGTGCCAAACCAAGGAGCCGGCGGCCCTCCGCGTGGGCGGGAGGGATATCGTGAAAAGCGCCGGCTATCTGTAGGAGCCAAATCTAACATCGCGCACATGAGGCATGGAGCTGAAGTTCATTAAGGCGGCGCCGCAACGCCTTTCCATCATCAAATGCTGGTAAGTAACTGTTTCAGCAATCAGCAATTCGAGGCTTGATTACCCAAACCCACTCCTGAAGTCCAACCTGACCAAACCGCAGCAGCTACCTGTGGTTTATCCGTCCGTCGCTTTGCAGTCGCCCGAGCCCTTGCGAACTAACTTCGAAAGCAGTCGGTGCTCATCTTGTGCCGCTAGCTTTTCAACGCGGGGGATGGCTCCAAGGCAGAAGTATCATGAATATGCAGCTGTATGCTTGTAGTGGTGCTTGTCCCTCACGTTGTTTACAATTTTACTCCCCAGAATCTTCGATGTGTAGTCGAACTGCGATGTCATCCCGAGCCTCCTCGAAAACATGCTCAAGGAATTCAACCCGAAGCTGTAGGTCCAGATTTTGCACGATGGAAAGCTGATTCGAATTGAATGCACCATTCTTTCGTCGCTTGCCAGCTTTATCCAGAAGGTAAGGGTGATGTGAGCATCGTCAAGCCATCGCATTCCAATAGCCCTCGTGCTCCTTCTCAGGCGTGGACTTCAAAAGGTTCGCCTCGTTACTTTGCTGGAAACACTCTAGTCCACAGTCAGAGTCAGAGCGAGCTTGCTGTGTATATCCGACATGTGCTCCAATGACGGACCTACAAAATCACTGCTTTTTCAGATTCTTGCTGACACTGGCTGGCTTCGCTGATGTCCATTTGCGCTATGATTCTTTTTGCTTTGGACGAACATTCCAGCATCTCTCTCACGTGTCGCACTGGGCTTCTCTGTGAAGAACACGTGCAACTACTAGTAGGGCTCATGATACAGACGACGTCCACCCACATTCGTTCGTTGGTCCCTTTGGGTGGTTGGTGCAGCGCTGCCGAAGTGCGCTGCTGCTGTTGCGGCCCGGGTGATTGTGGCTGTCTGCCTTCCTGCCACAGCGAAAAAACACGTCTGGCCTGCCTGGCTCCTCTTGCAGATCCTCCTGATCCTCCCGGTGACCGGAAGTCTGCCAAATCATCCTGGAGTCACGCATGCTGGGGGAGTGGAGTCACCGCAGCACTTGGCACAGCTTCCGTGTTCCCCACCCGCATGCCCTTGAGCCGCTTCGGACTCGGACCCCCGGGGTTCTATTCGCCATTCGAAACGTACTTGGCTTTCTCGTCCACCTCTTGATTTATGCTGTTACACGTCCCTACCAGCCTGTGGAGCCTCTCCTCAGAGCATCAGCAGTCGTTGCAGCAGCTGGGTGCAAACATCGACATGCAAAGCAATGCAAAGCACGGCAAAGCAGTGAAGCCAAGTCCCAAGTTGCAGACCTTGAACTGGAGCTCAACTCCAGCCCCCATGATCGCTACCTTTCCTCTGATGAGTTAATAGTGCTTCGTTAATCGTCCATGGGTTCGAGCTCCAAGCAACCATGCCCGGCAACAATTCAAATCATAGCGGAATGAAGCTCAGGAACGTTTTAAGTCCTCTGCAGGAGGTTGAAAATTTGGAATCCGGGGGACAGTGTGAGAGTCCACTCAATCATCAATTATATATTCGAGACCTGGCTGATCGCAAGCATGCAGCGACATTTCCAGAACTCAGTACACTCGTTGGCGGCAAGACTTTTGTTTCCACGTCAATGTCAGAGCCAGGCCGACTGAAAATCATGAAGTCACAACTGCAACCTCTGTGCGGTTGAAACTCGTTGGCTACTCAGAGGTCAGTAGGTCAACTTGAACGTGTCGATCGCAATCTGATAGTCATCACCTCAGAACTTCAACTTCGACGGCGCGCCGAGGACCCACCGACAGGTAGACGGAGACACAAGATGCTTAGGGCCGGGACCACGGATTGGCCACCTGAGGTGACTTCGGTCGGAGCGGGTTTAACTTGCACTTGCGCCCGGACCTGGCCTATTCTCCTCAGATGCGATGGTCAACACGAACTGCTTTTTTCTGGACACGACGACCGCAGCCTGCCAGCACAAGTTCCGAATCACAAGAAGAGTAGGCACCAGAACATCCTCACAGCAATTTCACCCTGAGCCTTGCAGTGGAGTTGAAACTTTTTCCTGCGAAGCTGCCTCACGCGAGTCTGCAAAATCATGCTTGCAGGGTGCTCCACCGACGCTCCGCTCTGCTGAACTGCCCTCTGGCAAGCCTAGCCATGGCATCGTCAAACTTCCACTGGTACACGTACCTATGCGAGGGCACTCTGACTCTCTCGATCAAGGTGTGTTTGTTTCAGCCAAGGAGCTCAATGATATCGATGCGGTGGCCAATCTCGTCTTTCTTGGATGTTGCGGAGATGATCTCCTCAACACATGGGCGGATGGCCAGACCGGCATTCCGAAAAGCAGCCAAAACCTCCTGTCCTGCGGAGCCCCTTCAGGGACAACATCCTTCAACAGCTTCTCGGCCACCTAGCGTAAGAGACTTGTCTGCGAAGATGATGAGCGGGGGGGGGGCCCTTCCATGTGCACACAGAGACGGAGTTCTACCTCTCTTGGTTTCTAGTTTTCTGCAACGCTTAAACTTAAACGAGAAACCTTGATCCGCTGCCACACTTTGGTGCCAGGCAAGAGGAGGGCCGAGTGCAAACACCCAAGAAGTCCTACCGCCACTGCGGACTTTACCGCCAGGTGAGAGGTGGCACGATTTGCCCACCCTGTGTTCGGATGCCCCTCATCAGCTGCAAAGGCTCGGATTGCCTTGGAGGGAAGCAGGAATCTGAATTGACCGACGTCAAACGCTCAATTGAGCTGCCGCCGGCAATGGTCATCAAGACTGAAACGTTTCAGGATGCTTCAGGACAAGCATGTACTTTGGGCACGGGCAGCTTCCAGATAAATGTGCGTCCTGTGCGACTCTTCTGAAGTGCTGTCGGCTGAATGCACCACATGCACCCTCTTGTCACTTCCCGTCCTGGGGGAAACGATGCCAGGTCGCCAGGCAAGAGCATCACTGCCTCACCACCCTGGCTAAATCAACTCTGCAAGCGTGCGGTTCTCGGTTTGCCCATGGCACCACGGGTGGCCTCGGGGGTCACGGTGGCTGACCCCGACAAGATAAAGACCTCGGACACTGCCGGTCGATTCTGCTCTCCGTTTTCGCCACTTGCCGTCGAGGCACCGTCTCGGGGTCGGCGTAGGTCACCTTGCGAGTGGCGAGTCGCGAGTGCATCTCTCTCGCTCTCGCTCTCGCACTCCCTCTCTCTGTCTTCTTCTTCTTCCTTCGGGTTAGAGGAGCTGTTCAGGCTCCCCGGCCCATAGGGCCCCCCATTGTTCTGGGGCTTTCGGGGAGAACTATACGTACCACAATACGTACCTCTCTCTGTCTCTCGCTCTCTCTTTGCTTTGCTTTGCTTTGCTCCGGGGTTGAGGTGTGGGCAGGCCCCACACCCGCGCTCCAGTCGCACCCCCTCCAACATGTTGTTGGTTGGGGTGTCTGTACGTGGTTCGTTGGAGTGAAAACACGAATGGGGTGCATGCCACCGTGGGGGCAAGGTTGAAGCACAAAGCTAACAAACAAAAAAACAGTCTTACAAAGACAAGAGTTTGGAGTGCCCCGCGGTTACTCTTGCTGGTCCCCCACTCAAAACCCTTCCTCACCTGCCTGACCCTGCCTGTAACCCGAACTGAAGCCTCAACCCCGCACACACTGCCTCGACCTTCCACTCAACCCTTCACCGCTCTCTCTCTCTCTCTCTCTTCTTCCTTCTTCCCCAGGGCATAGGGGGCAGGTCAAACCCCCCGGCCTATTGGCCCCCCATCCGTTACGGGGCTTTCGGGGGTGCGTGAAAAGGTAGTAATTACTCCTCTCTCTCTCTCTCAAGTGTGGGAGTGAAGCTGGTTCAGGACACTTCAGAGTTCAAGGATGTTTAAGGACAACGATGTGCGGCACACGGAATAGAGTGCCGAGATGTGTTTCGGCTTGAAGATCAAGCCCATGGTGAAGACTTTCTTCCGAAATCCGCAGCTGCAACGGCCTCGGCAATGTCCGGGATGCTGTCCGCCATGCTCGGCGTCGCCTGGCTGTGCCATAGATGGCAGCAGAGCACTTCATCTGAGCCGCTGGGGCCAGGGCAGGGGTCCCTCCCAGGCTGATTCCTCAGAGCCAAGCGATGCCAAAAGCGTCCCTTCCTCCGCAACTCCCGCCCTTGACAACCCTCGCTGGGGGCCCAAACCCAGCTCCTTCTTGGAGCCGAGGACAAGCGAGACGGGGATCCAGACCTCGGATTGCGGATTGTTTCCCTTCTTGGACCCTCCCGGTTTTCCTAGGGAAGGGCACCAGGAGCTTCTCAATGTCGTCCTGGCAAGAAACCAGCTGCGGATCACTTCCGTAGATCTTGCAGGCTCTCAGCCGCTACGGTCCTGGGCCCTGTGGAACTGCTCGTTCAGCAAGTCCTGGAGGGCTCAGAACTCGTCAGCAGTGCCGCTCGCAAGTGTCTAGACTCTAGACACTTGGCCCCCGGCCTCCTCCTGGGGATTGAGAGGTTTGATCTCCTCCCTGTGTGGCTCAAGCTCTTCCTGAGCGGAAGTCTGCCACGGCACGAGAGTTTGGCTTGGGGAAGGGGAAGCAAGGAACCTCATCGGCACTGGTACTGTCCGTGAGCCGCGACATCGCTCGTGTGGCCCAGCTGCTGGTACCTTGCGTCTGTGTCCGACAGCTGCAGACTCGTGGCTTCGCCATGCTTCACACCAGAGGCGGGGGACCCATGTCGACTGTGCTCGTCGCCGAACCGCTGAACCTCACAGACTGAAACTTTGAAACACCGCCGCACCCCTGGGCATCAGCACATCAAGCACCTTACTTCTCATGGTGAGGGCTCGGCTTTTTGGTCGGCGAGACCGATCTTGATGACAACCGCCTTCGGTCCTTCCCAGACGAGGACAGAAACGAGGACAGAAATAAAACAACACGGGATTGAGCAGAAAGCGCTCCCCCCTCCCCCGTCAGTCCGATCTGTAGCTTGGAGTGTGGCCCACCGGTTTCGGCAGGCCTGGCCAGATGAAGCAGCGAGGACAAGGCTCTTGAAGCGCAGCCCGGCAGACCTGTCTTGTTTCTCTCAATCTGCCCCGGCAGATGGTCGAAGGTGACCCTACAGTCCTGGCGAGACGCGGTGCAAAAGCACTCCAGAAAGTTGAGAGTTCTTCTGCAGCTCCTGCTTCGACATGTGACTGCCATATTCATGTCGCATCGAGGCGGGCACGGCGCGACTCTGTCAAAGGCTCGGGTGGCTGATGGATCCTTGTAACGAAATAGCTGCATAGTGTCTAAGAACATGCTGACAGTTGTTGCGAATCTCGCTGGCAAAGACCGTTGGTTTGCCTTCGACTACTCTTAGCACATCAATGACTACGAGGCAAAAGCCGGTTGGCATCCATTCGTGAGGCAGACTTCCGCAAATGCATGTCTGGAAGCATCATTTCTTCTGCATCGATATTGCGACCATAATTTCACACAAAAACCTCCGCCTGGCTGCCGTACTACAGCATTGCCAGGTATGATGGCCACAGCCTACCTACAGCTCAGAGCCTAACCCAGAAGCTTTGTCACAGGTCTTCTCTTTGGCAAGTTGGTCCTGCTGAACTTCAGCAAGCTTGAGAAGAGAAGACTTAACATCCTGGTTCTTCCTCTTGATCTCATCTTTCAGAGCCTGAAAGTCAGCGCGGCAGGCGTCGTAGTGCTTCTGGGCCGCTGCACCACACTCATCATGTGCCTGGTGCGCTGCCTTCCTGCGGTGCCCGTTATCTTTTTGGCAGTCCTTGTCGGTGACGGTAGTGTATTGCTTGCATATGACATCGCAGTCTTTGAAAGGACCCCACCCCGAGCAGACCCTTCCCTGGGCGACACATTGCTGGCGCATGCAGTCCTTTGCTTGCGGAAGGTTCAACGAGCATTCCTTTATCCTGCAGCTTGACGTTGGATTCTCTGGCTTAATCTGGGCTTGAAGCTTCTCAATCGAGCTGCGAGTCTCTTTCAGCTCTGACGGCAACGACAGACATTTGCTGGCGCGTATCTGCTTCAACCGTGAAGCAAGTTTGTTCACATCTCTGCCTTCCAGAATCTGGTGAAGCTCCGATGGCACCATGACTTGATAATCGATGGTGTGTCGTTGTAGGAAGTTTTGCAGATCGAACTTATCGAACTGGATGACCTCGCTGACCACAACACCGTGCTTCCGGGCTACTGCTTGAAACTCTGATGGGTCCTTCACGCACTTGTTGTCAGGAGAGCCAGGGTTGAAAATGGCAACGACTGGAATGCTGTCACCCGTCATGTCCTTGAAGAGTCGCATCAAGTCCAGAGCTTCCTTCTTGGTACGACGCTCAGTACACGCAACGAGCCACGCGAATGCATTGACCTTGGTGCGGTTCAGCGCCATCAGGGTCTTCTCGATTGCATCTAGCGATGCGGTCAAGGAATTTTCCCCAGAATGCTGAAGACGATTGTCGCCAAACCCTGGCGTGTCAGCCATGTGACGACCAATGTACACATCTGTCGTGTCTGATTCTTCGGCAGCACCCACACGTGTGTTTTGGTGGCACTGGGAACCGTCCTCAGCGTGCATTCTGCATGTAGCTATGTTCAAGCATAAAAGACACAAGCCTACTAGTACGTGTATTGCACAGACTCCCTGACTGCCTGCCAGTCTAGACGTCCAGCATTCTATTGGTGAAGATGACATTCAATTTAAGCATCGTAGCGCTCGCAAAACTCCGTTTTGCCGTCGCCAGTCCAGCCCAGAAGTACTATCTTTCCATCACCATGGCCCCAGGCCAAGACCCAGGCAAGGGCACCCCATAGAGCTGCAAAGAACAACATGTCACTGAGGTGTGGCAGAGGTTTTGAGCGGCAAAAGACTCCAGGCGGATGCGTGCACTGCCGCTCCTATCCTGCAGCTGGAGACGCAAGAATTCAACTGTGCAGGACGTTTCTCGACGCATGCCAGAAAGCCAGGCGCATTTACCGAGGGAATGCACAGGTCCGCTTAGTATTCTTTCGGTTACTGCACGTACCCTGACTGCTGTTCCTTATTTTCATCCTAGTGACATGCACCACCCGCAGTGAGCAGAACGACGACGCCAAGAATCAGCGACCCGCAACCATCAAGAACCAGCAAACACATAAGCAGGAAAACAGGCATGCAAACGCAAGCATCGCCAATTGCGTTTCAGTGCCCGTTCTGTGCATTTGCAATGGAGCATTGCTGCGCCAGGAACTTCACAGTATGATGGAAGAAGCTTCAGAGGGTGTGGAGTGTACAGGGTGCCAGGAGAAGCTATACTGCTTGTATCTTGGTCACTTGGTGCCGACGGTCTGATACGCCATGCTGACGTGCAGTTGAGAGTGCAAAATCTGGGGCCTCATGATCAGCTGAGAGCATTAGGCAGAAGCCAAGACTACAGGGCCTGAACATTGAGAGGTCTGTAATCTAAATAGATATATATATATATATGTATGCGTGAGGGTTTGTTGATATAGTTCGGGTTGCCCACCTCAGCGAGCGTTTTGATGTTGATGTGGTTGCCTGTTGTAGACGTAGTAAACGTTGTCTTCACTCTCAATCACCCTTACCCTTGCAGGCACTCAACGACACTTTTCTCGGACAGCGTGCCGTCGAAGGTCTGTGCACGGGAAATGGGTCACACTGTATGGATCTAAAGCCAACAAGTACCTCGTAGGCTTATGGCTGCTGGCAGTTTCTTGAGCCAAAGTTGCAGACAGGCGGAGCACTGAAAACATGCCACCTTTACACTCTGCAAAGCAGGAGAGTAGATTGGTTGGCTGATGAATCACAGTCTGCAAGGCAGCCCAGTGATGGTCACTCGTATAGCTCACATCGTGACACCCACGAATTGTACGAGGCATCGAGGTCTGTTCGCACCCCCCATGAGTTAATTAGGCCTTCGGCCTTGCTCGCATAGAGAGTGGCGATTTGACCAGAAAAGTTGAATACCATGTCTGCCGCAATTTCGTGTAAATAAGTCAAGTGCGAGCTTTGTATTCCCAATTAGAAATGGTGTGACACATGGCATCCCCTGAATGTGTAACTGGGATAAGCATGCCACTGAAGAATATGGCGGAAATTGCCAATATACCTCGAGCGCGCACACACATGCATACAATCACAACAAACCGCTGCCTCTTCTTGTGGAAGCCCAGTTAGTACGCAGAGATTGCAAGGGTGGCTTGGATCCAGTAGGGAGGTGCCACACACAGCTCTCAACCATCCGCACTTTTCTGCAAGCTCAGCAAGAGCCTGGGGCCTAGAGGCCTCGGGGAGTCTCGGAGATGAGGAGCAGCCTCAAGTTATGAGACCTTACCTTCACTGTGATTGGAAGCCACAAAGGGCTTTGAGCTTGGCTATGGGCATCCCTACTCTCTGAAATAACTGCCTTTGCTCAAAGCCCCACTGGCTTCCGACGACGTTAACTGACACCGGTGGCATCGCCAATTTCGCATCCAATGTCGCAAATCTCTTGCAACAATGGCGGTTCAACGATCGGGAATTTGGAGTTGCAGATCGGCCCACGACGCAGAACACAATTCCAAAGCTAGCTGTGTTTCTATAGCAAGACACCCAGCTGGGCCGTCCCCTACAGCGTCCTCTACAGCTTCATGGTAGGCCTTGGCGGGACAGGAGTCAAAGGAGAGAGGCGATGCACCAAGCTCGGGCCGCCACTTCTCAGGTGGGGGTGGCTTCCCACCCTTACCATCAGGATCCTTCAGCAGTGCTTAGGCTCTTGTCTTCTTGCTCTGAAGACTTCTGGAGGGCTTAGGCGGTTTAGACATGTGCTCGCATCTCTGACGACCTCAACTTGCAGCGTGGTGCCTTCGGAGGAGGAAGCTTACCCGTTGCGCCCATAGGGTCCTCGCACAAGGCATAGATAGAGGGGCATCAGCGGTTCGAGCAAACTGTCGACAGCATCAATCTGCAAGCCTGCTCAGCCCTTCGTGGGCCTCGCATCACGCGCCTCGAGGCGGCCGACAAGCTGACACTAAGCCGCGACGATAAAAACGAGCTCTCGGCAGCAAGAGCTCCTCCTTGGAGCCGATCTCTTGTTTTGCCTTCAAGAGATCCCGCCGCAAAACCGAGTGCAGTCGCTGTACCAGCTGTTGCAGCTGTCGCCTTTTCATTGTCAACAATGCCGTTGACAGCTATCACCCTGTCTCCAATGCAGATTCTCTCCTGCGCAGCTGCAGCTCACGCAGCTCATGCTCACGCCGGCCTGGTGATGTGGCGTGAACACTTTGTGTCCTTCGGATTCTGTTTGTTCCAGTCTGCGATGAGACTCTCATCCGCGATCTTGAGGATGGTCTCAGCGAGCCCACCCGCTCTCCACAGAAGGCTAGCGGCTAGCATCGTGCATGTCACGGCCGAGCTTCGAAGGTCTCGGTATCTGTGGCTGCACCCAGCTTCTTCCCTGGTTTCTTAATGATCTTCGCATCCTCACCGCTCCACACAGAATCAGGTGCCTGCTTCGCTGCTGGTGCTCAAGCTGCTGCCAGGCATCCACGATCAGCTTCGAGAACATAATCTCAAGCTGGGACTCCCTAAGTTGCGGGTATGCCGCGGGTATGCGCAGCAAGATGAGAGGCGTCGCTTCGTGCTGCCAGGCAGCTCCTTCAACTGACGGATAACGTCGGTTTTGTCCTTGAACATAATGCAGATCCGGAATGATCAGCACCGTCACTGACACTGCACTGATGTCAGGCAGGCCACGGTGAAGTCGTTCACGGAATAGATCTTGTCACCTTCCGGTCAGGCAGACCTTCCTGCAAGCTCGGAGCCCCGGACCGGCGAACCTGGACAAACGAACTCGTTCTCCTGCTCGCAGTACTTGTCCAAGAGTCCTCCTGGAGTCACAGCCTGGCGGCACGGCACATGAAAAATGCCAGCAGCCCCTTCTCAGCTTCTGCGCCCCAGCCTTGATCTCGAGCGAGTCCGCCTCAACCTCGAGGCCGATGGACTTGTCCTCAAAACCGGAGCTCCACCGGTATACAGATGCTCTATGATGCTCTATGCCCTATGCACCTTTCTTCCCCGTGGGAGACTGCCATGGTCAGGGCGATGGGGCCCCCACTTTCACTTCACCCCTCCCAAAGAATGCAGTCATTCACCCTTTGGAAGGGGCTTCCTTGTCGAAGCGTAGGACATTTTGATATTATGGCAGATACTGCTTATCCGTGGAGGCAATAGCGTGACGTCCACGCGTGTTGTTGAAAACCTTGTTGCCTCGTTGTCCAGGTAGACGACGAAGAGCGCTTGACCGCTGACACCTGAACCCCATGATAGAATCATAGACTTCGTTGTTCCTCTTTTGGGAGCCAGGTATCTTGGAGCCTTCAGCCCAGGCTTGCCGGAGGCTCGCACCCATCTTGTTGGGGAGCCTCGCTCATTGGGAAGCAGTCGTAGTTGGACGCTTGGGCCATTGCTGGGCTCATCACGGCTTCTCGCGCCATCCTTGAGGCCGCGGTTTCCGGTCAGTGCAGCACTTGCCACCCATCAAAGAAGGGAGCTCGCCAGTGCCTGCAGAGCTGTGCAGAGCAGTTGACATAAGCAGAAACCCTGTGTTAACAACCAACAGCGCACAGCTGACCGCCTCCTGCCGGGTCACCGCAGCAGCAACAGCACGGGCATGGCCGGGAACCGCTCCCTTGCTGTACTCTTGGTGTTGACTCTTGCTGATTCTTGCTGCAGGTGAGCGATTTCATCCGCTTCGACGACTTAGGGGCCTGTCGTTGTGCAGACGTCTGCTTCTGTGTGCATATCTTGGCAATCATGAACCATCAGCTCCCACGGCAGCACCGGGCCTTTCTTGCGGCTAAACATCCAGCCCTGATTCGGATGCTCCGCTCGCTCTCTGCTTCCTCTATCTTTCTCGCAACGGTCCTCAAGCTCGGCTCTTTTCTCCTCGGTGCTTTAGCTCCCAGTTCTGACTGGACACAGCGCTCACGCCGGCATCCTCTAGTCTTAAGCGCTCAAGAGTGCTACAGTGACACAGGTTGTCCACACCGGTCGCTCGCCGTGAGTTGACTGGAAAGGCGATACGTCATGGCTATGTTCTCCGATGTTTGTGGTTGAGCCCGAGGTCAAGTCACAGCTTATGCCGCCACCAAGCAAAAGCACAGACAAGCTGTGATCAAAGCACTTTGGCATTCAAAGGATGCTCGATCCATAGACGAGCTCGTAACAGCATCTTCTTCAATGCCTGCAACACGAAGAGTTTGCGCATGTCCTATCACCAGGCTTCACAGAGTGTCTGCAGAGGGTTGCCTGTGACTTCACGAGCATTATGTCCGGGTTGATCGTCTTGTCAATTAAGTCCATCAGTCTGATTACCTGTAAATGCACTAGTCTCAGAAGCCACCATGTCAAACAACACTGCCAAACATCTGGTTCTGTCAGGCTTGTTCCCATCTGTCACAGGAATCACATTCTCGTGAAGTTCTTCTTCCAAAACGTCTGCCCTTCTCTGGTCAAGCGTGGAACGGGCTTAGGACGGCGATACTTAGGACGGCGCAGTAGCCAGGTCGCGGCTGCCGCTGATGTCGATGCAAACCTCTGGGTGCAGAGGGGAGAGGAGGTGAAGAGAGCAGGGGCGGAAGGGGCCATGCAGCGGAAGAACTGCTTCTTCTTATGCGGCCACTCTCTTCGTAAATGCGACTCGGAGATGCTGTCAGGATCAAATCTGTGGAGCTTGACCCATTGGCCGAGCCACCGAAGAAGCGATGAATGAAAGAGGTCTGGCATGTCTTAGCCCTTCTGCCCAGCAGGCCTTGGTGATGCGCTGAGGAAGTGACTTGGCCAAAGCCTGGGTGAGAACAGCCATTGATGCCAGTGTAGCGATTGAGGCAGCTCTCTTGCGCAGCGCTTTGGACAGCCCAAGATCTGCACCACCAGCTTTGTGGAGTCAAAGGCATCGAAGTTCTGCCAGGGACAGCATCAAGTCATCTGCACGGGACAGCACATTGCCCTGGCAGCTCAACCATGGAAACTTGTAGAACTTCACGATCATGTGTTCAAGTTGTTGCACGGAAACTGACAGAGGTCCTCGAACTGGATTTCCGGATAGTTCTGGCGAGCCTGATGCCATGTTTTCAGCCTATTGTCTACGTCGAGGCCTCAAAAGCCGCGGGGCAGATATGCACCTGCGCCACGAGTTCCGGCTGCTGGTCAACACCAACTACCCGACCAGCCACGGATGCGATCACCTGGCCACACAAGTCCCATGGGCGGGACAGGGACGACTCGTTCAAGGCACCCAAGTGTGCTGCCGGCAGGATTTCTCTTGAACGGCCGAAAGCTGCAACGACCCTCCGACAATTTATAACGCTTTGAGCGAAATCCTCGGAATGCGGATGTTGCCAAGTACAAGCACTGCTTTTTCCTTAGAGCAATTTGACTGCCTGTTGTATGGATGCTGTCAGATGGGCGATTACTTTGGATGGATGCATGCTGAATGATTAGCGGCAGCGGCTTAGCGGCTTAGCGCTTCAGAGCTCTTCACCACCCTGACGCTCGACGACTATACCGCGAACATCCGCGAACTTCACTAGAGCCCGGAAATGTCATCCAGCTTCACCACCTACATCCCCAATGGGTCAGCACAGCCGGGCACAGCCGCGGCCTTGGTTGTGCCGCCCACATGCGAACCCACCTGAACAAGCCAGGTTTCTCCTATCAACACAAAGCTGCAAGGCCGCAAAAATCCGAAAAGGGCAGGGCCTCCAAGACCACGTCGTTGGAGTTCACCAAAGCCCTGACATAGGTGCGGCTCTCTGAAAGGCCCTCGGAGGTCAAGAATTTCTTCGGAGCTCAGTCGGGCACAGAACGGCGGCACGGTACTCGGACACCTCCTCGCAAGCCACAACCTTCCCAGTTAGAGGGGGCCGGGCCCCAGAAACCCCCCTTGCAAGAGCGGCTGGGGCACAAGGTCCCTTTTTTCATTTCAGGGAAGCGCTCGGCACCTTTTCTTGCACCTCTTGGGACTATGGGCTACGTGGTCCGCCCTTCACGCCCTTCCGGCCGGTAGAGGCTAGAGCTGGGTGGTCTGGAATTCCGCTTCAAGCCTTCATCATGCAACCGGGCCGGATTGCATTGCTCGTGTCGTCGCTCATCGGTGAGAGCACCCATGGGCAAAGAGGGTGCCATCCTCATGATTGGGAGATGAGGAGCATGTCCACTCGGAACACCGTGGTAAGCCGCTCAACATGTCGATCCAGTCCGAGACTCACAGGGCCACTTTGGACATCCTGGCTTCATTCTGGGCTAGAAGATGCCAGGGATCATCAGCCATGGAACTGCCTCAACATAGGTGGGCCAATCCTCCTTGTACTTCTGACTCAGGTAAAACTCAATCTCGCGGATGCTCAATGTGCACATTCCGAGCGCCATGGCGGCCGGCACCCACATTGTCCAAAAGGCGCCAGTGACGAGGGAGAAGCCGATGAAAGACAAAATCTCCCCGGTGTAATTGATGTGTCGCGCCAGGGAAAACAATCCCTCCGTGTACAAACGGCCTTGATGGCATGATTGCCGCTTCCACACATGTCGCTGCCACTCTGGATACAGATTCAGCCAGGACCCCAGCAAGAATGCAAGAAGGCCCCAAAATCCGGATGAGTCGATGTGGGATGTGCGCGTAGCTGCGCCCTTTGCCATGGAGACGATGGAGATCGGGATCACACAACCTGCCTCCAAGGGGAAAAACCCCTTGAACCCTTTGAGGCCCTTGGGGCTTAAGGCTCTTTTATCATGCCCTGACTTATCTTCTGAGTCGCAGGCCATCACAATTCATGACATTTCTGTGCAGCAGCGAGGAGCCACTACGATAGTGGCCTGAGAGCCCTGCTCGTCGACTTTTTTCAGGAATGATGCTTGCTAGACCGAGAGCTTTCATCTTTTTGTAGAGGCAAACACCGTAAAGCCCTGCAACCCTGCAACTCAGACGAAGGAACCAAATGAGAACACACTGCCACCTCAAAAACCACCTCCTTCCAGGGAATTCCGCGTGACCAGAACCAAGTCATCTGGAACATCACCCGGATCACGAAGATCACCGTGCATAGCAGAACGGAGTTGCAACGGGCGCCGCCCTTGCAAGTCCCAGCCGCGAGAGGAACGTTGGCACAAAGCAGCAAGGCCTAGACAAAGGGCTGGGAGCTACTGGTAGCACACTCCGCAAGTCCGCTGTTCACGGTGTCGCACCTTCGTCCACCACGCCAGGCGGCGCGACCTCTGCATCAACAGTGCCCTTTCGATGGAAGCTGCAAACTGGTCGAGTGCTCTGCATTTGCCCTACGCCCTAGGCCGCCTCGGCCCTAAGCCCTAAGCCTCCAGCTGTCCACCTGGAGAGAGTAGCCTGTACAAAAAAGACGAAGTGTCATGAGGTCACGTCATAATATGAGTAGCTGCCTCGAAGCAGTGTCAATGAAGAAGGCACTCCGAAAACCAGTCACCTGCAACCACATAGAGAAGCAGTGGTGTTGATGGTGCCTTGTCAACATGGGGCATGCCTCGTCCATCCACGAGTTGCAGCGGCCCGGTAGGAGACCGAATCTAGAAGCTAATGTTAGGAGTAACTTGCACTTGCCATCTGAACCACAATGCTGCTGGAGATTGCACGAATGACTCTGCCAAGCTCTGGCTCACTCTGTTTAGACAAGACCAAATGAAGGAATTCCCCATCCTCATGCAGATCGCAGTGTCCCGCCTCCCTGCTGCTGTGCCGCAGCATGTTGCGCTTGTGGCGGTTCGAGGCTTTATGTCTGGCAATTTCCTGTCAGGCTCAAACTTGTGAAGCATAGCCTCAGCCGAAAATGTGCTCATGGCTACAAGTACTTATACGGCTGTGCGGGTACAGTACAGACGAGCTTGACATGCAGAAAACTGCGCGCACACATATGCCTATTTACTCATCCACACATTCCCTGAATCACTCGGCAACTGCAACGGTGAACAAACATGTCATTGCTCTCGGCAGGGTCCTCAGGAGTGCACTTGCCCTGGATAATAGCTCCACATTCGCAAACAACCCCCAACGGTGCGGTCCTGCCAGCTGCAAGCAGTGACCTACTCAGCGCCTATATACGGTTCTCGGTGAAGCACTCCTATCCCCATTGCTCTCCCCCTGGCCATTGTGGTTTTTCTCACGGTGCAGTCTCCGTCTTACCTTGGCGACGAAAACAGAGCAGGCAAAATCGTGTTCACATTGAGTATCTGGAATCTAGATGGCGCTTGGGACACGACTCGCGGCGACAAGCGGACCCAAGCCAGTTGGAGGCCGGCAACGAACCTCAGCCGAGGTCCACAAAGCATCGCGCAGCGTCGAGCAGCATCGCGCACATCTGCCTTGAAAACTCAGGGAGCGACCCCAAGGCTGCCGCCGTGCCAGCAACGAGGGCAGCCTCGCCAAAACGTCTCCAAGGCCCCACCGGCTCCACTCAGTCTTTGTTCTTTTTTTTACAACCTGACATGTGAGCAGGGGATCCTTGACGTCGCTCTCACTCAACGAGCCGTGTGCCATGGCATTGCAAGACAAGCCTACGCAAGAGCGGAACTCCAGAATTGTCACGTCTGTCGGATTGTCCTTGCTTTGGCCGCAAGGAAGCCTTTCTTGGAACTGCACAGCAGATGCGCTCATGTTCGGCATTGGCATCCCTTCTTTGACGGCTTGCAATGAGCCGCAAGTGCAGTTACGGCACCCTATCCGGTCTTGCGATGTGGCATTCCAGCATGTCGCCTGAAGACTGCGCAGAAGCTTTCTTTTTGGCTGCGTTCTCGCTTGGGTGAAAGGAACTCCGGCGAACAAGGGGGCTGCCAGCTGCTTGCAGGACTGGAGGGCACCTGTGACACATGCAGCGTTCAATCAGTGCACAAGCCCTTTGAGGTTCGTGCCTTCGGCCACAAATCTTGTGCAGGGCTCCAGAGTGGTGGAGATTTGCACACGGCCTTGGCTCGGGGTTGCTGATTCCACGACCTTGGCTCCTTTTGGCTCCACTCGGGCCTCGCGTTCACGATCTGGAGTTCCTGCATACAGCACGTGAGAGAAACGGACAGCTGTACGCATGCCACGGCCTTCAGCAAGTGCTGGCATAAGTCCGGACCTGCAGAGCTCCGACTACGGTTTGCGGTCGTTCTCCGAAGCTCAGGCTCTCTGAGTCGCGGGCTTGCGCAGGCGGCAGCGCAGGTCGGACGCCTCCACAGCTGAGCTGCGAGCGGCTGCGAGCGACAAGGCACAGCAGAGCACAGCCGCCGGCCTGGGACTGCTCTTCCACGAGCGCCTCCGCCACCTCGGCGACCTCCTGAACCAAACGCGCCGAGGGGGGCCCGTGTCTACGTGTATAGCATTGTATAGCCCTAGAAAGAAACGACCGGGCCCGCGTTGTGCGCCTCGCGAGCTTGGGCCAACTCGGCTTTGAGACAGGAGACCTCCTCGCTGGCGGCTCTGCACCTGGCAGAGGCGCCAGCGCAAGGAGTTCCCACGGTTTAAATTTTAAAGAGTGCTACTGCGAGCCTCTCCCATGACACGAGGAGTCGGTCCCCATTGCGTGAGGCCTGACCACAGCGAGGAGAAGAAGCCATGGCGAACAGAAGCTTCCACGCTTCCCATCCTCTCGCAAAGACTCCACCAATTGCTCCCTCAGAGAGCGTCCTGGACGCATGAGTGGCGCAGGCCGAGACAAGAAGCGCATCAACAAGTCTCCAGCCTTCATGCAACAACGATGAATTCTCGCCCGATACCTGGCAGCACAGGATGCATCCAAAACACCATCAACCAAGCCCGAAGGTCTTCGCACAGGCCATAGGTCGACCCCTAAGACATGGCGAATCCGTCACATCGTCTCGAAAAGACGGCTGGCGAAGACGAATGCACTGTGGGGCAGAGCTCAAATGCAAAAGTGGCCTCTTGGAGCTTGGTCCGGAGCGGATTGACCTGCATCCAGTGGGACATCGAAACCCCAAAGCTTCAGTAAGAGACCCTTTCCCAGCAATTGCTTTGAGAGGCTTTTCCGAAATTACGGGATGAAGGCATCCACACTGCCTCAGCCTCTGCCGCAGTGAGCTCCGACCGCAGCTCAGCGCATGCCTTTCCAGCAAGCTGAAGCTGTGCAGAAGAGGGCAGATCAGAGCCTGTGGGGAAGGGTTTTGTCAAGTGGCACACTGTGCATGGGCCGCTTCGACACTTGACCCTTAATGCAGACAGGACTAGCTGCAAGCCAGCTGTCAAGAAGGCCTGGCTCTCTTCCTGGTTGCGCACAGATAGCTCGAGCTGTGCAGCGAGGACTTCTCGATGATAATTCTGGCGGACACGCTTCACGCTGTGACGCGACAATTTCTCGTCTTTCTTAGGACAGGTGACCTCGCCCATGCTCGCGGAGCACACCTTTTGCAGCGAACAAGCCGGTGCTTGATGCCACAGAGCCATGGAGCCTGTGCAATGACGCTTAAGGCCTAAGGCTCCCGCGCGCCAGCGATCGCGATCGGAAGCCAAAGAGTTGTACTCTTGCTGCTCCTCTGCCTGGCAAGACAAACCCACGGCCACAGTACGACTCACATCTGAGTCTCGTGGCCTCTTTCTGGCGCAGGTCCTTGACTTGCTGGCACCTCGAGAGGCAAGCGGTCCATCAGCACCAGAAGCACACAGAGGCCACTCGCCAAGCACCGGAGAGTCGCGGCCTCACTTGGTTCTCCATGCGCGCCACATGCATCGCCTTTTCCGATTGGATCACTTCGGTTCCTGGACGCAGATTGCTAGAAGGTCGTCCACAAGAGAACCATGGTATCTCTCAAGCATGGCATGTTGAAACGCCGGCAGCTTGGCCGAAGGCTGAGCAGTGTCGAGATCGCCTGGAAAAAACTTTGTTCAAAATCTGCAATTCAAACAGGAAACCAAGCATTCCCAAGGAGCACCTCAAGCTCCTCCTCCTCCAGGCGAGCTTTGTGCCGACCTTGTCTTTATGCTCTAGGAGTGCCGGCTATTTCCAACCAAAAGGCCGCAATCAAAGTCCAGGGTCCCTGACTCTCCTCACAGGACTGTCGGCAGACCTCCGGCTCATCGCAATGAAGTTGCAAGCGGCACATTGCAAAGAGAGCCTCGGCAGCCGCCAACTCCTTTCCAGTCACGCTTGTCGCATCTTGCATATGACGGTCGGCAACCGAAGATCGCCACTTCATCCGTGCCTCCCGCAACTCGTTCGAGGTGTGTTGTGCAGAAAGCCTGTCATGCCGCCGTGACCAGGCAGGAAGGACACAAAAGCCACGGACGCCGACGGACAAACTTGAACCTTGCAGTGCATGCATACACATGTGTGAGAGTGTGGGGGCGAAGGCTGCACTCTCTCCCGCGTGCTCACCAATTCTCAGTCAAGGTACAGCACCAACTGCACACTGCTGAGACAGTTGACCGACCGAGCTCTCGCACTGTTAGCTCTATCTAGTTTCTGTCTTTCTGTCGGGTGTAGGGCATTAGGCCCTCGTAGGCCCGTCAAGATTAGGGCGCAGAGGCTCGAGCAGTTCGGCCTCGCACTCGCCGCCAAAGTTTAGTGTGCTGCAAACCTTTGGGAGTCTCTCCCCTCTTCCAGACCCATCCTTTTACCTCAGGCGGCTCACTGGCTGTCGGCTTCTGTAGCTGTCCTGCTGTGGGCCATGTGTTCTTGTACTCGTCGCACATCCTGCCATTGTCTGCTCGGGGTGAGCAGCACCTTTTGCCTGTGTGTCTCTTCTGTCGTGAGTCTTCTTAGAAGCCGGGCTGGCAGACTCCCCCAGCAAATCTGCAAAGTCGGCAGATGTATCACCCTGGTTTGCCATCAGGGTTTTCCAGTGCCCACTCGGCCCAGCGGTCGGCCAAGGAAAATCGTCTTCAATTCCTTCACGAGGTAGGATGCTCCTTCCCCCTATTGGCGGTTCACTCCGGAGAGAGCCGCGGCCGGGTTGCGGAGTGCATGTGAAGGAGGGAAAGGGCCTCTTGATGAAGACGGCACGGACTCAAGCGCCGCTGCGAAAGACTCGAAGCCTTCCCTGGAGTCTCCCCCGATGCCAGGGACCCAGGCAAAGGTGCAGAAACTTGAGCCAAAAGCTCTCTCTCTCTCTCTCTCTTTGTTTGTTTGTCTCTGTGGATCCCTCAGGCCCGAGCTCAGCTGTGGCGACTCGGATTTCCTCCTTGTGGAGCAGATGGGCTGCCTGAAACAGGTCTGCTGAGTCTACTGGGTCATTTTGGGTACGACACATTCAATTCGGGACTTCGCGAGGAAAGAGCATGACTTGCAGTGCACATGCCTGGGCTCCACACCGAACCAACTTGGCACACGACAACAACTCGAACAGTCTCGCGGAAGCAGTCTGTGAGTGTGTTACATGATTACTGTACCTACTGTGTTCTACAGGTTCTACAGTATGTGTGGCCCGACGTCTCTGCTGCGTTGTAGTCTGAGGCACCCTGAAAGGAACTTAACCCTGCATCATACTCCAGATAATCTGCATGAACATGTGACAGCATCTGCAAATAGGTGAATAGATGCTAGGCATTGTAAACCATATGAGGACAGTCATGCATGTCTCCTCCCAGCACCTCAACTTCTCGCTGCAATTCATGTCGAAGCTGGTCTGCTGTCTCCCCATGGGCCTTCACCATCAAGCCCAGGCAAGCAGAAGAGGCACCTCCACGCTGAGTCGCAAACGGTGTGCTTGTCAGCGTTCATTCGCGCCTTGCGCGAAGCTGCTATCTATGGCATTCAGGACTCAGCAACTAGGCACCTGAAGGAAGTGAGAGGAAGCCTCTGCAACCGCTGTGGCCTTGCAAGAGCGGATTTCGGCGGCGCGATGAGCTCACTATTCCCACCTGCTCTGCTGCATGCTCCAGCCGCACCTGCTTCGCCCTTGCGTGCTTCATGCTCTTGCATCAGCACTCTCAGCATGCACCTTTTAACCTCTCAGCTTGTCACCATGTTCGCAGAGAAGCAAGCTCGCTTCTCAGCTGTGCCACATCTGTGGCCTGGACAAACGGCAAGAATGTGTATGCTCGCAGCAAGGCCAGCGGCCCGCCTCGCTTGCTTTGTGCGCGTCTTGCCCATCCTGCGACGAGGCTCCAAAGAGATCTGAATAGAGGGGAGTCAGCCTCACAGTGGCTCGGATGCGGACCACTCTCTTCTGAAGCGCTGCCTCTTGCAACGTTCGAGTGTCCGACGTACAGACCCCATTTTGGCCCCTGTCTTGGGGCGTCGGCGCTGCGTCGCTTCTCTACCTCCAGCTCTCTTTCCAGCTGCCAGATCCGGTGCCTGTGTTTTTGGGAGCCCCTTTACAGCAAGAGCTTTCCTCACTGGCCCCTCTTGTCCTGGCCTTAAAAGCCCGAGCTCGCCTGCGACTTGCCCTCGCATCACATGCCATAACAATCATACAGCCGCAGTTGTGTCATTTGTGGCGGGCCTCCCGAGCGCGAGATCTGCACCTGCCTTGGAAGCACAAAAGCCCTGGTGGAGGGATCCCCTGGATGTAGGCAGCACCAAGGCTCACGCGGCTTCTTGGGTGTGCACGGCTTCTCCGATGGCGATGGCAGTTCACTGCGGTTTTCTTTGTCCGCTCTGGAAGTTGGACAAGACCTGGACGTGCGCCTTGCCACGTGCACGTTTCTTACTGGCGCAGGGAGACGTGGCGTGCAAGCCGAGGCACAGAGAGGACGGAGCTCCTGCCTCGCAGAAGGCTTTGTGCGCAGGTTGCCCCTAAAAGGCGCGCGAGTGGCGTAGGGGGCCTCCGGCGGAGCCTCTCGGCCCTCTCGGAGCTGCAGGCGCAGCGCAGCATTTTGGCCTCAAAGATACTCAGAGGGTCCAAGACAAGACCGCAAGGAACGGCGCAAGGGCGGCTGCCTGACAGCCGCTCCAGAAGCAGAGCTGTGTCCAGGTGCCGTGCCTGCCCATGCGCATTCACGCTGCTGCCTACTCTGCACAGACGACCGGCCGCCGCAACCGAACACGACAGCCATGCTAAGGCACTGTTGACATGGGATTATGGGACTAGGATGTGCATGGATTGCAGAGCTCTCGCCATGCGGGCGCGTCCTTCGAGTCGGTGAGCCCGGCACGAAGCTGGCAGAGTTCCTGGCGACATAGGGCAATGTCACAGGCATAGCCTCGCAGCCTGGCGCCGGTTTTTGTTACGTTGGGAGTCTCGGCTCACATGGCACGGACACACGCTGCTGTTGAACCAGGGCAGGTTAGGGCCTGCTTCACCGCCGGGCTGGCAGACCACTCGGCCATGGACATGGTGTCATCATGCACCGAATTTTGAATGCATGTGCTACGTTCGGGCCGTGAGGTGAAGGAACCGGTGTTACCATGTCGTTCTATGATAGCTCATCGACCAGACAGCGCGATAGGATTCGATGCAGGCACAGTTTCTTTCAGCATGACCTGGATGTGGTTTCCGAGGCACGTGACTAATTAACTCAAGCTGGAATGGGAGCAATTGCGGAGACACGTGGCTCCCACTGGATGCGCCAGGTGCAGTGGGAATGTAAGCGCACACAAACGCTTTTGCGCGGGGTATCTGCGGAATCTGTTGTCCGCAGCTTGCCCGGCCCGAACGGCCACAGCCATTCATATCACCTGTGCCGCAGCGGAAGCACCTTGAGGCCTGTGAGGAGTGCTGGACGGGCCTTTTGCCAAAGAGCACCATCATCCCATTCAATCCCGAGGCTGCCAGCAGACCAGAAGCCCTGCAGGCAAAAGCCGAGTTGTTGCAATTACCCTCGGCACTCCTCCCGGCACTTCCCCCCTTCTGCCTGCGAGGATCCGGACCGGCAGCCTCTGCAAACAACCTGAGCTGCGCGGTAGAAGCTTGTCCTGTCAGGCGCTGCCAATAAAAGATTGACCCCTGGACGGCCAAGTTGCAGTGCTGCCGCTTATGGTCACTGAGGCTGGGCCATAGGTGATGTCAGTGACGTTATCGCACGACGTCCTGCCGGGTCCTGCAGCGGACGTGTTTCCTTCGAGGATCGAGACCCTTCACTTGGTTCGCCCTGATGGCACAATAATGAAACTAGCTAACTGGCCTTGCAAAATTATGTAACCTCCCAAGAGCCCTTTGCGATGTTCCCTACTCTGCCTGGTCGAGTCCCAGAAATCTTTCCAGACGTGGGCGGAACGTAGACATCAACAAGCCGCTGGCAGCCGGGCTGTGTGACATCACGGTAGCGCCCCTGGAAGATTCCAGGCTGCACACAAGATGCCACCCCGTTCGGGGGCATCATCATGTTCTCTCGCCACACCTGCAGGAGCTTCTGGCTCGAAAAACGAGGTGAGATTGGGTGAACGTGCTTGATGTAATGAAGAAGAAGGAAAAGACCTGGCTTTTGTCAGCAAAGTGCCTTGAGAGTCCGTCGTGTTTGCATGGCCTTTTATGACTGAAATGGGCAACCCTGTTCCATCCGGACCCTGTTCCCTTGCCAGAAATTTCGAGACCCCTATCACCAAGTTCTCGGAAAGCAGTAGAGGTCTGTTCTGGCAAAGTCATAACCCAGCGCGTGTCAACTGCGTCTTCCGCTTCAAGGTTCCTACAACTGGTACGACGAAAGTGTCCTCCCCATGATCATCATGGAATCATGAAGCGTCCCCTACCTGCTCCAAGTAGCAGCTGGAATCCTTCCGGCGACGGAGCTGGAAGCCCGCAGTCGGCACATGTGTGTTCGGCAGCGGCGCATCAGAATCTAGCCCTGGATTGTAGTCGACATAGGCGGTGCCAAATCGAATCGGATATCCCATCTCCCACTCGAAGTTATCCAGCAAGGACCAGGCGAAGTAGCCACGAACATCAACACCATCCTGCCTGATGGCAGACAGAACCTCAGTGGTGTAGTTGGCGTAGTACATCACCCGGCTTGTGTCGTTGGCTGCTTGCTCAGCCGTCTTCGCACCTGTGATTTGGAGCCCCTGGCACTAGCAATTTCCCTGCTTACGTTGGCCTCGGAGCTTCCGGAGGAGTTGCTGTGGGGCCTAGGCCTAGCCACCTAGCGGGCGAGGAAGACTGGAGTCTGGCGCCTATCGACCAGCCGTTCTCCGTGACGTAGATGACAGGGTTGTAGCGCCTCTTCACCCAGTTTAGCAGCTTGCGCAGTCCCCAGCCAGCACCGTAGAGCCAGGTAGATTGGGCCCGAATGAAGCCATCCTCGCTTGACACGCCGTACGTCATGTCCCAGCCTGGCTCCTCGGTGGCGGCATACCAACCAGTGGAGTAGTGATTCAACCCGAAGAAGTCCGCACTGCCTTTCAGAAGCTTTTTCTCGGCGTCGGTGAACTTGGGCAAATTGTCTCCAAATACAGCTCGCATTTCGGGAGGATAATCCCCATAAGCACCAAAAATGGGCTCCGAGAACCAGCCCAGCTGGAAAAGAATTGCCCGCTCGGCCGCTGCAATGTCTTCCAAGCTGTCCGTCTTCGGCTCTCTCCAATCTTGGTTGTTCGTGATGCCTATGATTCCCCCTTGCGATTTCTGGTACTTTCCACGATAGATCTCCACTGCCGCCGCATGCGCGTTCAACATGTTGTGCGCGGCTATGTATGGATCCAACGATGCATTCATGAAAGGCGCAATGCTTGGAGCCTTGCCGCTACCACTGGCCAGCTTTGTACTGGTCCAAGGCTCGTTGAACGTCACCCAGACTTTTACCTTGTCGCCGAAAGATCGGAAGCAGGTGTCAACGTAGTGCTTCCAGTTTGGGAGGATCTGGCCTACAGGCTTGCCGTCCTTGTCCCGGGCCCACCATCCACTGAGTTCTGGCGGGCTCAGCAGCGCTTGTGGCAGGTCCCAATGGTACAGAGTCACATATGGCTGGATCCCAGCAGCTAGGAGTTCGTCAAGGAAGGTATTGTACCAGCGGACGCCCTCGGCATTTGGCTCTCCGGTGGCGCTACCCGTTGGGAAGATGCGGGGCCACGCAATGCTAAACCTGTAATGCTTCAAGCCCATCGACTTCATCAGGGCGATGTCTGTTCGGAACAGGTGGTAGCTGTTTGTGGCAACGTTGCCAGTCGCGCCTTTGTCTACCATGTGCTCGTTGGGCGTGCATGGTGTAGATTTGCAACAGTAGCTGCAGTTGCCCCCTGGCATGTCAATCGTGTTGGCCTGAATCTGCGCATCTTGCACTGGACACTGCAGTGAGGCTAATTAGGGTTCGGGAATTTCGGCCGAAGTGGCGGCCAAGTGGTGCAAGGTCTGACCAAAAAACAGCCAAAGCCTGCCAATGAAGAGTGGCAACCCCTGTGAAAGTGTCCCAAATCGACACACCCCTGCCACCTTCTCTGTACGCACCTTCAACTTGGTAGGACGCGGTACCCACACCCCAGACAAAGCCATCAGGAAAGCGCCCAGTGTAGTTGTAGGTTTTGGGCCAGGTCCCGAAGGCATAAGGCAACGGATACTCGGGACACTTTTCGAAGCCTCGGCACTTGGAGCCACCTGCATCATTTCGCAGACTGAATGGTGCACCCGCCCCGCGCCCCGTCCCGCCAGCCTTGTTGCTGAGTGATGAGCCAAACGATCAACGCCAGCACGACACCCAGCAGCAAGGCCACACCCACAGGGAACATGAGCTTCTGCTTGGACGGGCAACATCGAGATTTCTCAGCCTTGCAGGCAAGAGAGAAAGGAATGTAGTACGAGTATGAGCCAGTCAGCAGGCTTCCCGTGTGCAGACTTAAAGCACCTGGCCATCGGACGACTCGCTGTCGCTGCCTTCATGCTCCGAGATCTCCAGGGAAGGGTTCGGTGCATCAGCGAATCCCTTGTCACGGGACGGCATTGCAGGATACCCTTGGGCGGCTGGCTGCCTCTGGGAGTTGCTGATGCTTCTCGAAAGACTCGTTTTGCTTCTCTGCACATCTGATACTTTCCGACGTCTCTTAGACAAGCTGTGTACTTGGCTCCTGACACGATTATGTGAGCCACCTGTCGGCAATGATGGTTCCTTGATTGTTGGGTTGGTGGCATGTACCTCTTCAGATCACTACTTGAGCAATAACAGCTGAGCACAGGTGCGGGGGTCCTATCCCGACTCGAACAAAACCCTTCTCGAGGTGTTCTTAGGCCGTGCAGAGTTTGCTCAAGTCCCTAGCTCGCGAGACGGCTTCTCCTTTGCCAAAATAGAACCTTGAGAAAGCGCATTCGTCTTTCAGACATATGGCTGATGAGGGCTCTCTCTGTATAGAAGGGTCTTTTCTTCTCGAAGGCCACAAGGCCTTATCCTGCGTTGACGATCCTCGTAACCCTCCTCATCCCGAGGCCAGAACAGATCTCGGGGTCGTGGGCGGACTCTAAAAAGCGTCTGAGGCTTGGGATGCCTGAAAAGCCCTGGACATCCCTGGACCCTTCAACTTTCAAAAAACCCTGTGAACAAGAAGCGGTGCGCGACCCTTTTCGAAGCACAGTCCGCTTTGTCTTCGAAGGCTCCGAGCTCAACTGCTGAAGCCGGAATCGTGGTCCTTCTCTTCTTGGATAAATCTGCGAAGTGCGAATGAAAGCATCAGGCTCGGAACGGCAAACATGACTCCATACAGCACGTAGACGGACATCCTCCACCTTGGAGCGCCCGGCGCTGTGGGGTCGCAGAGCTGGTAGACGGTCATGAAGGCTGCAGGGCCCAGCGCGCTGCTGACCTGGATCGCGAGGTTCAGCGCACTCTGGAACATCGCCTGCTTCTCCGGGGAGGCGGCTCGACCGGCAATGCCGGCAATGACGCAGCTGTTCATGTTCCCCAAACCTCCCAAGATCAGGCAGTTCAGGTTCACCTGCCAGCTCTTCCCCGCCATCATCAAAAGCACATCCGACAAGGCCGTCGCAAGTGTACCTGGGAAATCAAAAATGCACAACGGAAACTTCGTTCAGAAGCAAAAGTATACGATTTGAAAAGCTGCTTCGCTCTCTGCACCGAGGGGCTCGAAACCAGGATTCCAACCTGTCCAAGGATTAAATCCGAGCTCGGCCCGGCCGGGCGTCCACTTTTGTCGGGCCCTTGTTCCCTCCTGATCCGGCTTTCTCCATGCTGGGCTTCGCCCCCACCCAACAGCCCTGATGCAGAATGAATCTTCAAAACTCACCCCCCCCCTCCCCCCCGCGCCCCTCCTCCCAAACCCCCACTGTTGCGACCCCTTCCCATCCCCACCTCTTTGCCATGGTGGGTTGGTGCGTGCTTGCGTTCTTGCCAGTCCGACAGAATGGCCTGACAAACCCCCACCATAACTTGGGAATATGTGTGATCCTTAAACAACGCCGAAAAATAAAATCCATAACAATTCAATGCCTCGAAGCTCTCAGGGAGCTTGGCATTGAAGAGTCTGAGGGCATGGGGGGAGCTTTCTGGTCCTAGAACCACCACCTTTAGGCTTGCCTGTCGCCCGGCCGAGGCGGCGCGGAGCGCTGAGAATTATCCGCGGCTTTGCGCCGACGCATGTAATCGGAAGCACGGGGCATTAAGCTCCTCTCCCATCACAAGCTCTTGATGCGAGCTCCACCCGGGCTCCGTGCGGACAGAGGAAGAGAGGCAAAAGCATGCAAACCCTGCCTGCCCAAGGATGGGCCAAAGCGCAGACACGCCCAAGGTCAGCCAGACCATGTCTGAGAATTGTGCTAGCATGGCCTGCAGATACATCTCCTGCCGAGTAAATGCCAGATGCTGTTGAAAAAAGCGGTTCATCATGGTGTAAAAGCCATTGTAATGGAATGAATCTATAACGGCAATCGCTGTAAGCTTCTCCACCAGAGGGCTCTGGAAGAGCACCCGAAGCGCTGCAGTGGGAAGCAAACTGGACCAGGTAAACCGGATTCGCTTTTCTTCCGGAAGCGACTCTGGTAAAACGAACAGCGCAAGCAGCAAACACACCAGCTTCCCCAAGAAGCCGATTAACATTGCAACCTTGAGGCTGAGGAAGCCACCAAGGAGAGAGCCCAGAATTGAAGCAAGCGTGCAGGAGCTTTCGATCAGAGCTGTGGCTATGACAAGGCTGGGTGTATGGTCAATGCGGTCGATATACCAAGCGAGGGGCACTGGAAGGAAAGGGATCATCCCAAGAAAGCCAATCCAAAAATCAATCCAGACGGAGAGGTCAAACCAAGCAACCACTGCTCCAGTCCCGGTCGAAATTGCAAATGCAATTCGTATCAAAATTACGCCTGGGCGCCGACCGAAGGCGTCGCTGATGGCTCCCAACGCAGGTCCAGCAAAGAATTGGATAATGGGCAATGCAAACCCTGCAACGTCACGTCCCAATGAGGCATGTTAGGACATGTGGGAAGTTCATTCAAGACTTAGGCTTCCAGGTTGTCAACTGTCACGTGACTGCCTCAAGGTGGCCTAATTACCTGTCGGAGTGTGAGCAAGGTACCTTCGGGCCCAAGAAGCACATGTTGGGCTTTCAGGTTTCCAAAGGAGAACAGTACCCACCCAGGACCCACCCGCACCTCGAATGACCTGTATTTGCGTCACATCGACGACCGCCCGGCTGCATGGCATCGTGTCCATAGCTGTGGAACAATCCGTGGGATGGCCGTCGGCATAGTGCTTTGCAAAAGAGTTCAGATACATGTAGTCCTCAGCACACAGATGCAACACGTTAGTACGCCAGAAGATGGGTCTCCGATGTGACACGCAGATGAAGAGACTTCAAGTTGAAATCTTCAAGGGACCCTCAAGCAGAGGAGAAACCATGCAATTATGCACACATACAGAGAGAACATGTCGCAGGATGCATGGGGCGCTGTCACTAAGATGCGGGCAGCGCTTGGGGCCGACACTGCATAAACGAACACGGACAGTGCGTGGATAAGCCACATCGGACCAACTCTTCCAGCGATGTAAGGCAGACTCCTTGGAGCATCCTCCTGCGGGTCCGTGAAGCACTCGGCCTTCTTGTTTCGGTGGCGCCGGATCAGGAACTGCGCAATCACGAATGCGAAACCATGTGGCAAGAGGATCGAGGTGGTGACAGGCAGGAATTTGCGTTGCCATCCCTCCCGAAGTCTTTCAGCCAGCGATCGCCTTAGATGCTGCTTAAAGGAAAAAGACACTTGTTGAAACACCGTGTTCTTGGCCTCTTGGCAGACTTCCTGCAGACGTGGCGCCGCCCAGCAGGATGCTCCCGGGCATCCGATGTCCTCCCTAACTCCACGTTGACCTGAAGCGATGCTTGCACAGGAAGCCAGCCTCCGCCCTCCCTTCCTCAAGGAAACAAGGAAGGCACCTGAAGCAGTTTGACCTGGATGTTCTCTTCTTCAGTCTCTGAAAAGCCAGCAACACAGCCATCGGGAAGCGAGCAAGCCGAAGAATTGCTGGCAAAACCTGCATGCGAGACTCACAGCCATAAGCACTCTCTACGGCCCCAAACCCTTGACCTGGTGATTGTAAAGGTGAGACGAGGAGGATGGCCCCGAGAAGGCCGAGCCGTGCCATGGTTTTCACGGCTGACCTGCAACTGACCAAAACAGACCACAACAGACAAGCAACATGTCCAAGGCATGAAGAAACGTGCCGACAGCGACTGGGATGCCGACAATTTGGTTGCCCAAGCCAGCCCCAACCACGCAATGAGCCGAAAACGTTAAGCGTCGCAATGCATCGCAAGACCCCGAGCCACTGGAGCCAGTGAAACGGAACAGACACTGCAGGGGCACCAAATCTTTTTTTCCTGGGCCTCTCTTTGACGACCTCTTTGCTTTTCCGTTTGGACGACACTGCATGCAGGAGCTCTTGTAACAAGAGCCATGCTTTTCGTCACACCTCCTCGTCCTCAGACAGGGGCCTTCTGCGACTCGCCTTGGGGAGGCCAGATTCCGTGAATCGCATGCTCTTCGAAGTCGAGTCCCCACACTGAGCCAGCAGCGTTGCAGAGGCCGGGTGTCTGCGTCAGAGGGTTTTTGCAGATCGTCGGCCGCTTGGGCTCACAAGGCCGCTGGTCGGAGAAAATGGCGGCTGAACTTTGCCAACCGAAAACCTCACAAGGTTTCAAGAAATCAGTCGGTTAGGAGAGAGCCCTGCCGGCATGGCTCCCCGGGCCTTTCATCGTCACCTTGTAATTTGCTTGGCCCACCTCTGCGCAGTGCGCGGCCGCTTCTTTGGAAGGGCGGTTGGACGTGGTTGGACGTGAACGTGGCCTTGAAGCCGCGGCGCGCTTGGCCTGTCGTGGTCTCTAAAGATGATTTCTGGCCGATGGCAGTGGACAGGTCGTGGCCGCTTCAATGAGTTCCTGGCTTGATGGTTGGAAGCTCGTCGTCCCCCACCTGTCACGCTGTCCACACTGGCACAGATCCAGCCCAGACCATTCCGGCCTCTGGTGCCGTCCAGAAGTCGTTCTGGATCGCCGATGCGGTTGCAGGAGGAGACGCTGGGAGCCTTCAGGGCGTCAAGTCGTATTACGACCTCTTGGCATCGTGGCACGTGGCTGCTCTCCTGCTGACGGACGAGGTCGAGTTCCCTTGGTCCCCGAGCCGAGTCTGCAAGCGAGCCGAAGTCACTCGCTCAGAATGTTCACACCAAGGATTGGGCGGTTTCCCGAAATCACCTGCGCAGGCTTTACTGTCGCTACTGATTAACTGCCGGGATCACACACATAAGGCTATGAGCTTTTGCTGCCTCATTACCGAGCTCCAAGGAAAAGGTATCCTGACAAGTCGTGGACTTGAGGCTGGAGATCCATTCCTCATCTTCCGAGGTGCCTCTCCCCAATGACTTCCACGGAAAGTATCTTGTGGTGCTTCCCGCTCGCCAGGTAGGACGTCATCGGCGAAGTTGAAGTCCTTCTTTCCCTGCAAACGAGAAACAACGCGAAAGAGAGCGTAAGCAGCTTCTCGGCGCGACGCACGCCGCCCCGACCCCCCGCAGAGCCCCCCCCCCGTGAGCGGCGCCGCGGGCCTCGAGGACGGATTGGAAGCGCGACTGGGTCGGGGCTGCAACTCCCTGGCCGGGCTCGAGCTTGGGCCTCGGCGCACGCGGACGATGTGTGGTGTGCATGCATCACAGTAAGGGATGGTATGTATAGGAGTTTATTCTGGATTTCCTTGGACGACGCTTTGTTCTCTTTGAGTTGCAGAGCTCTCAGCTCAGAAGATCACTTGGCGCCGGACAGCATCACGCAGATCTTTGCACGTGTTGCATCGAAGTTGTCTTGCATCCGCTCGGCTAACTTGGCCTCTTCAGTGGCCTCGAAGCTCCAAGCTTAGGCTATTGACACCATGCTGGCATCACCTCTTAACGTCTCCGTTTGCCGTGCTGGGGCCTGACGCAAGGCTTGTGCCTGCTTCAGCCTCGTCTTCTGCATCTTTCCAACGCTGACGACCTGAGATGGAACTCACAGGAGCGACAGGCCTTCCGAGGCGTCGTTCCAAGACTCGGACTGCAAGAATCACCGCAATGCCGCCCACGGCCGTCGCGATTAAGCCCCACATCACACCTCCCAGAATCGACGAGGGGTATCCTATCGTTTCGGAATCGATGCCCCACCTGCACCCATTAGGTCAGTACTTTCTGCTGAGAGTCGAGGAAGATCTGCGAGAGGTTGCGAGCACGGGTCTAGTCCAGACTGCATAAACTTGGGGGATTGCTTGGTGATCGGATTCGCTTCCGCCAGATCCCCGGCGAGCATGTCAGATGGAACGAGTGATCGGGGGTTAAGCGCACAGGCCGAAGATGCAATCGTCAAGACACAGGTCAGGAATCGCCAAAGCAGGTATACGACAAAAGGACACCAGAAGGTGTGTAAAGACAGGCAGCGTTAGGTCAGCAAGTTGGACCAAGATCTCGGAACAGCAAGTTTGCAGGTGGCAAGCGGCAAGCCAATTTTACCGGATCTGGGCTGAAAGGGCTTTGCTGCTTTTTCATGGGCCTGCGCTCGGCTTTCAATCAAGGATCTGAACTGTACCACTACGCACTATCTCGACCCCTTGCCCACGCTTACTCTTGCATTGAAATTCCGCATGGGAGTGTCAGTTTTGTCAGCAGGTTCCGCATCGCTCGGTTCGACAGACATGGAGGATGGAAAGCGCCTGGCTTCGTCTCGTCCGAGAGTGATACATGTACCCATTTGATGCGGGTTTCGGTGGTACGGAACTGCGCGTGACTCCGGGTTCATCTAAGCTGATTTGACTGCATCTTCGGTATGCAATGGCTCAGAAGCTTTCCCCTCGGAGCATCACTTCCTAAATCAGAACCTGGGCAAGGCAACGAGTTGTCGAGAGCCAGGCTTGTTTGACCGAGAAGTGATGCGATCTGGTCCAGTGTGAGGCTATCCGAGGCTCCTGATAGCACGAAAATGCCACTGCAACCTATTGCAACCTTTAAGTTGGCAAAGGCGGATTCCTTGCGCAGCAACAGCAGCCGCCGCAGCTTGGATCCTCAGAAAGCAAGAACTCTTGTGTCGAATCCGCAGCCCAGTCGCTACAGCCTCCTGCTGTTTTTGTTGGGCCTCCCCTTCGCTGCCAAAGAACCCACCAGGCCCCATCAACCCGAAAAAGTTCGCCGCTTTGCCGAGCCCAGCCCTCCCCCCCGAGATTCACCTGGCCAAGGCCTCGGCAGGCGGAAGACCCGATAATGCTCATGATTCTGCCCCTCCCCGTTGCCTAGGCCTAGGCGGCGGCCGGCAATGAAAGCTACGGCTCTCCATATCCCAGGCGGATCCCGACGACGCGCAGATATGCGCAGGATGCACCCCCTCCCCCACCCCCCCACCCCCCGCGCACGCGCACGCGCACGAACGCGCGCGCGCGCGTGTGCGCCGACCGAGGTATAATATATTGCAATCCCACACGCTCTGAGCCAGTGACTGGTCTTCCACACTGCCTCCAGCAGCAGCCACTACTTCTGCAGCAGCCATCGCAGCTGCTAGTGCTTGCTCCTCTTGGCTCCTGCAAGCATCATTCGTACAGTCTCAAAGATCGCAAGCGCTCGTGCAGATCGCGCGGTCCCGCCGAAGTACTGGGTGATGGCACCAGCTGCAGCAGCGCCAGCAGCCGCTGCCTACTTAACGAAGCACTTCAGAAATATCTGTGCATGTTCGACGTCGTTGCAGATGCTAGACGTTCCACCTGCTGGAAAATGTCCTGTCCCGCGGCTGCTGCGGCCTGGCAAGCCAAACAGAGCAGCCGTCAAATGCTGTGACTGGTTCCGAGGGCTCTGACAGCCGCGGCCGCTGCACCAGCAGCACTCGAAACCGCGTCCTCCAGGTCGTCCTTGTGCGCCCGTGCAGTATCGGAAATGACCAGCGGAAGTGCTGCTTGCACGGGACACCCACAAACTTGCATGAACCAAGCTTCCACAACGAGAGGGGGGATTTGGCCCGAAGTCAAGGCTGCCACAGCTGCGGCTGTGATTTGCTGCTCCGTTGTCATACCTGCTTCTGCAGCCATACTCGCCGCCGCCGCACCGGCTGCTTCGGCCTGACGGCGCACGTTGACATTTTGGAGCACATTCAGCATGGATGTGCAGCAAAGGTGCGATTCTTTCAACGGTCCAAATTCCCTCTAGCCGGGTCTTGCAGCAGTAAGTGGTAGTTGGCACTTGAGATAACACGTCGCAGATTGGAGTCTTGATGGGGGGGAGCATGTCATGTCCTTGAAACACAAGCCCGATGCCTGCTGCACACCTGTCTGGCCCTCTGCATTCGTCTCGTTGGACGAAGGCAACAGAACTCCCAGAAGGCTTCCCAGCGTCCTGGCTCCCAAGTCATCCGCTACCTCGCAGGCGAGACACTCGACTCGTGAAAGACGATGCAAACAGGACGTACACTAGCCTGCTGGGTTGCACCGGATGCCAGGGCGGCAGCGGAAACTGCTGCCTCAGCACGCGACAAGACTATTCTTTGCAGTTTGGTTTGCCGCTTCGTCTTTGAACGCTCCCGAGTTGCCGCTGCAGCCGCTGCTTGCTGCTGCGCCGTCTGCCCGGCAGCTTCTGCTAAAGTACTGCCTCGTAGCGGATCTGTCAAGCCGAGCTAGGCTCCAAAACAGGCGACCGGCCTGCGTTGCTTGCCAGCGCAACGATCTGGTCCAGCGTCAACCCGCTTGCAGCTCCTGGCAATCAAGTCAGCTGCAGGTACCGATCTCTTGCTGTACATACTTGGTCCTGCGGCTGCAATGGCCTGTGCAGCTGCCTGTATCCTCAGATCCACTGCGAGGGATCTACCAAACCACTGGGTGGTAAGTAGCTCTTCAAAGATGTGGATTCTGCTGATTCTGCTGGCTGGCTGAGCCGGCGACTGTTCCGCCAGCGAGCCTCCTGCTGCAGCGATGGCTGCGGCGGCAGCAGCCCCGGCTGCAAGAGCCTGTTCCTCTGGGGTCCTGCCACATGCGACACTTTCTCACCTCCAGCATGCCCATCAAGCAGGCAAAAAGCCGTCCCGCTGAAGAACTCGCTGATAGCTTGGGCAGCAGCAGCACCAGCGGCAGCTGCCTGCACCATTCGCACCGCGGCAAGATGACAGATAAGGTGCTCGGCTAGATGCCTGCTCCTGCAGTGTCGCACCAGATGCAGCTGCGGCCGCCGCTGCTGCTGCACCAGCAGCACTTGCCGCAGCTTGCTGCAATTCCGCCTCAGTCTGAAGGTAGGAATGGAATAGCAAGTTCTCCAGAGATTTGCTTCATGCACTTGCAGTCGAAGTAGCCTGGCTCAAAACGTCCTGGCCGGATGTAATCACCGCCTGTATGGCTGCTGTGACCTGCTGCTCTGAGGTCATACCGAGGCCGGCAGCCGCAGCCGCCGCCGTCGCACCGGTTCCGATTGCCTCGTGGGGGTCGACTTGAGCTTGAGCCTTCAGAGTTCTCAGCTCTTCGACTTCCGTCCGCATGGAGGCAGCGAACTAGGGCACGTGATGAGGTTTTTGACTTCCAAATCAGAGACATGATCTCGCTGGACTGGCTCTGCATGAGCCATGAGTTTGCAGGAGAGTCTGAGTTAATCAAACTTCTGACAAAAGCAATGACAGTGAGGACAGCCGATGCCTTCGCCTTTACAGACGATTAGGCAGCGGCGAAAGCTTAGAAAGCAAAGCTGGCTAGCACGTGTTTTGCGTAGAAACACCCCACATGTCCCACATCCACGTGCCTGCTCTGCAGCTGTTTGGTTGGCAGCATTGGTCTGGTTGGATGCTGGCGACAGCGCTCCCAACAGGTTTCCCAGCGTCTTGGCCGCTAAATCATCCGCTACCTCACGAAGCAAGTCGCAAGCAATGTCGACTGCGGGAGTTAAAACCCTGCTGCAGTGAAATACCGGCCTGCTGGGTTGCGCCGGATGCCAAGGCGGCAGCGGAAACGGCTGCCTCAGCACGCGACAAGACTATTCTTTGCAATTTGGTTTGCCGCTTCGTCTTTGAACGCTCCCGAGTTGCCGCTGCAGCCTCTGCTTGCTGCTGCGCCGTCTGCCCGGCAGCTTCTGCTAAAGTACTGCCTCGTAGCGGATCAGTCAAGCCGGGCTAGGCTCCACAAACAGGCGACCGGCCTGCGGTGCTTGCCAGCGCAACGATCTGGTCCAGCGTGAATCCGCTTGCAGCTCCTAGCAATCAAGTCAGCTGCAGGTACCGATCTCTTGCTGTGCATACTTGGTCCTGCGGCTGCAACGGCCTGTGCAGCTGCTTGTGTCCTCAGATCCAATGCCAAACCACCGGGTGCTAAGTAGCTCAAGACACCATGTTAGGACCATGTTCACACATGTGGATTCTGCTGATTCTGCTGGCTGGCTGAGCCGGCGACTGTTCCGCCAGCGAACCTCCTGCTGCGGCCACAGCGGCGGCGGCAGCAGCACCCATTGCCAAGGCCTGCTCCTCTGCGGTCCTGCTAGATTGGACATCTTCCCGCCCGTGCAAGAACGTGCCTCTCAACTATATGCCACGCTGTCCCGTTGAAGATCTCGCTGACAGTTCCGGCGGCAGCAGCGCCAGCAGCAGCTGCCTGCAGAAGAAATTCACACACGCTTACATTCAGGACCATGCGGTCTGCTGCCCCGCCTGCTCCTCTAGTGTTGCACCAGCGGCAGCTGCAGCCGACGCTGCTGCTGCACCAGCAGCTCGTGCAGCTGCCAATTGAATCTCGGCCTGAGTCTCAAGTGGTCTACCGGTAACAGTCCCTCCGCATAACCATCTCTGGCAGCATCTGGCTGTCAAGATGCTTGATCCAAGACCCCTTGGCCGGACGTGATCGTCGCCTGTGCAGCTGCTGTGACCTGCTGGTCCGCGGTCATGCCGAGGCTGGCAGCGGTGTCAGCAGTGCTCGATCCGGTCGCGATTGCCTCTCCGCAGCCGGATCAAGAACTGAACAGGAAGCAAAACACTTAAGCTCCGGCAATGATGGGTGTCGCAGGGCAGACATATCAGAAAATGGTGGTCGACGGCGGTCTGTCATACGGTCTCCAGGTGTCTCTAGCCATTCAAGCCTTCAGGGGAACCGGCTCTTTTTGGAACGTCCGGCCGGTGATGCCGGGCCGAGGAACGAGACAGCTTGATCTGCTGGTTGCATGACGATTACATGTCCCACTCCTTCGCCCATTGTCTACACTTGCGAATTGGCCAAGAGCTCACGAATCCGTCTGCGGGCTTTGAGAGGTGTTCCCTCTCCAGCAGCCGCAACCATCGCAACCGTATTTTGGTGTCGGGTTTCGTAGCCGATAACACCAGCCGAGGGAAAAAGTCTGAAGGCACCCGTCGTCAAGCCTGGTCAGGCCGTCGCCCCTACAGTGGCCAACAGAAGTCGTCCAGCTACGGAAGCTACGAGATGATGAGACTTCAGAGAGGATCCGCGAAACTGAAATGAGGCTAAGCGCACGGGAACGACAGACAAGCAGATCAGCGAGGACAGGGGAATGCACGATTTGTCGGGGCGACCGCCAAAGCAAGAACCACCCGCGCCTGCTCCAAAGATGTCTGATTTGCTGGATTGGTCTGGTTCGATGCCGGAGATAACGCACCCAGCAGGCTGCCCAGCGTCGTTGCTTCCATATCATCTGCGACCTCACACGAGGAATCGTAGCTGAAAGCTGGCAGCAAGAAAGCACGCTGGCCTCTTGGGTGGCGTTTGATGCCAGCGCTGCAGCAGACACTGCTGCCTCAGGCACAGGAACGAGTAGTACTTGATGCTTCGACTTTTAATGCTGTCGAGTTGCGGCTGCAGCAGCTGCTTGTTGCTGCCCTGTCTCTCCAGCAGCTGCGGACAAAGTACTGCCTCGAACGCCGAACACTCAGGCACGGTGCAATCAATCCATCCAGGTCTCACCAAGACCTCACCCTGAAGTTTACATGACCAGCCTGCGGTGCTTGCCAAAGCAGCGATCTGGTCCAGCGTCAACCCACTTGCAGCTCCTAGCAATCAAGTCAGCTGCAGGTACCGATCTCTTGCTGTGCATACTTGGTCCTGCGGCTGCAACGGCCTGTGCAGCTGCTTGTATCCTCAGATCCACTGCGAGGGATCTACCAAACCATCGGGTGGTAAGTACGTAGCTCTTCAAAGATGTGGATTCTGCTGAATCTGCTGGCTGGCTGAGCCGGCGACTGTTCCGCCAACGAACCTCCTGCTGCAGCGATGGCTGCGGCGGCAGCAGCCCCGGCTGCAAGAGCCTGTTCCTCTGGGGTCCTGCCACATGCGACACTTTCTCACCTCCAGCATGCCCATCAAGCAGGCACAAAGCCGTCCCGCTGAAGAACTCGCTGATAGCTTGGGCAGCAGCAGCACCAGCGGCAGCTGCCTGCACCATTCGCACCGCGGCAAGATGACAGATAAGGTGCTCGGCTAGATGCCTGCTCCTGCAGAGTCGCACCAGATGCAGCTGCGGCCGCCGCTGCTGCTGCACCAGCAGCACTTGCCGCAGCTTGCTGCAATTCCGCCTTAGTAGGTCACGCTCACGCCAGATGCATGAAATGGACCTGTCTGTAGTAATGTTGGACCGCTGCCGAGCGTCCTGACTCAGAACGCCCTGCCCAGCTGCAATGGCCGCCTGTGCGGCTGCTGCAACCTGCTGTTCTGTGGTCATGCCAAGGCTGGCAGCCGTGGCAGCCGCGGTCGCACCGGCGGCGCTTGCCTCAAGCCGCAAGACAAGACTTCGACGCTTTTTGGATCTGACACTGGAGGCTCCCGGTGTCGGAGACAGAGGGGTCCCGGCCTGCTGCAATGCATCTAGACCGTCTCTCGCTGCGGCCTGGGTCCGGTCAGCCGGGTTAGTTCAACACAAATACATAGGATCCTAGAGTCCCATATAGAATACACACGCAGGCACGGTTACAAAAACACATACGCGTAAACGAAGACATACAAACATGCAAAGCATACATACATACATCCATCCATACATACATACATGCTCATTTCGAGGCGTTCAGCGGTGTACGCAGCACTTTAGGTTGCTTTGCTGCTTTCAAGCCCATACAAGGCTTGGCGAAAGGCACGTCCCAGAATCTTTTCGGTGCCGCGATTTCTGCAACTTGTCCTTAGAGAACTCCTGCGAACCTTACAACCTTGAACTCCGAAGGTGGAGCCATGAACTGATGGGGCGCCCGTGACTTTTAAAGCAGCATTCTTATGAAGCTTGAACTCCGAGGTGGAGCCTTGGACTGATTTGCCTTCTGCGTGCAATGTGGACTCTAACCAAGCTCTTGTGAGGACGCCTACATCGCATACGGTACTTCTGACCGAAGATACAGATTGAGCCATTTCCATACGTGCTCCTCCCCTCGATAAAAGCACGTATGGAGATGGAGTTGGGGGGTGGGTTGTTTTGGTCCTGTTGGCCAAACCACCACTGGACTGTTGGGCGCACACTATCTCACAAACCTGGATCTCCCAGGATGGAGGCTTGGACTGATGGAAAGCCCATGATTTTAACATCAGACCTCTTCCGAGACTCATGCTCAATCATATGTCATGCGAGGCATGCGTGTGAACCTGCCCTCGCATTCTGTTCGTGGCCGTTATGTCGTAAAAAGCTTCGCGATGCGTCTGCGCCTACCTGGGCCGTAGCCTCGCAGCGCGTCTTTTGAAGCCGTCTTCGCTACACCAATGCATCTTCGCAATGCATCTGCGCCTATCCAATGTGTCTTCGCAATGCGTCTGTGCCACCCAACGCGTCTTCGCAATGCGTCTGTGCCATCCAATATGCGTCTTCAATATGCGTCTGCGCCTCCCAATGCGTCCGCGCCTTCCAATGTGTCTTAAGAATGCGTCTGCGCCTACTAATGCGTCTGCGCCTATTAGGCCTATGTTTGACCCGTTGGTTGGAATTGCATGATGTATGGATGTATGAGGGTGTATGAGATAAAGGTTATGCTACAGCTGCTACATGGCTTTGTCGACCTATTGTCTGTATGTATGTATGTATGTATGTATGTATGTATGTATGCATGTATGTATGTATGTGTACATACATATATACATGCATACATACATACGTACATACATACATACCATACCATACCATACCATACCATACCATACCCTACCCTACCCTACCCTACCCTACCCTACCCTACCCTACCATACCATACCATACCATACCATACCATACATACATACATACATACATACATACATACATACATACATACATACAACATACATACATACATACATACATACATACATACATACACACATAAACACACACCGACATACTAATTTACAAATATGCACGTAAACAGGCATATGTGTGCTTTTCAAGACAGACGGAAAGTGATGGCCAACGCTATCAGACCGCTATCATGATGCACATCATGGTAGCTGTCAACAACAATACCAATAGTCGCCAATAGTCATACTCGTGGCGAGAATCTCTTTCTCGCGCACTCACTGTCAATGACCATGATGATGGTAAGAAAAACCTTTGGCTTGATGTAGCAATGGCACTCAAATAGGACCCGTGGGACATCGACAGATTGGCTGTGAGCCAGGAGAGCAATCTACAGTTGTTCGGGCGGCAAGAGCAGGGTTTGATCTGCACTGTTTGTGCGCAGTACTGTTAGCATTGAGACGATTACCCAACTAGTGCAGGGGCGAAGCTTCCCCACAGCATCACTATAGAACTTTTGCAACTTCCACTTAGATTACCCTGCTGTCGTTTTGCTTCCACCGGTGTTGGTCAGACTGCCACTGGAAACAAACTACACGGACTTCGATGAAACATCGAGGATGTGGCGGCTGCAGCCGCCGCACCGGCAGCACTTGCAGCCGCTTGGTGTAGCTCTTCCTTACAAGTCCAGAAGCAGGCGATCAAGCATTTGCAAGGTTCCAGATCCAGCTTTGCTAACCACCACCTATCCGAGATTCAAGAGGCCGTCTGTTCTCAGGATTGGGTCTGCCAACACTCGTTGAGGGCTCACCCAACTCTTTGCCCAAGGCTTTCCGAGGACGAGTAGCGGCTTCACAGACTCTGCAAACCCCATAAAAGTCGTGTATGCGCCAAGCATCTTGACTCAGGGCGCCTTGGCCCGAAGTCAAGGCTGCCACAGTCGCAGCTGCAATCTGCTGCTCTGTTGTCATGCCTGCTTCTGCAGCGATACTTGCCGCCGCTGCACCTGCTGCTGCGGCCTGACGCTGCACAGTGAGACTGTTTGCGGGCGTCCAGACCTTTGCACCCGCTGCCGAAGAAAGGTGATTCCAAGCAGTGACTGTGCAACAGGGAACCTAGAGTCCAAGCCCGATGCATAATTTCACTGTCTTGGAGGACACTGGCCAATTATATCATTTGTTGGTCTGCGTGTTCTTGGAAGGGATCCGTTCCTGAGTCCGGCAGCCCAAGCCCACAATGCTTCTTTTGCCACGATGTTGGCGGATTCGTCCCGGCTCCACGCCCTAATTTTCGCACGTGGCCTCATGATATTTTCAGGACTGGGGTATCCGTTAGCAGAACAATCCTTGAGGTCTTCGAAGAATGCTGAGACATGATCCCGTGCCTGCTGCACGGACGTCTGGTTGGCTGCATTGGTCTGGTTGGATGCAGGCGACAATGCACCCAGCAGGCTGCCCAGCGTCGTAGCTGCCAGATCGTCAGCGACCTAAAACGGTCAGGCGTTGCAGGAGAGAACTGCAATCCTGTTGTGATGCTGGCATAAAGAAATGGCGCCCGGCCGCTTGTGTGGTGTTTGATGCCAGGGCGGCAGCAGACACTGCTGCCTCAGGCACAGGAACGGACAGTGCTTGAGGCTTCGACTGTGACCGCTGCCGAGTTGCCGCTGCAGCAGCGGCTTGTTGCTCTGCTGTCTGCCCGGCAGCTTCTGCTAATGTACTGCCTCGAGCGCTCAGGAACGGTGTGCGACAAATCCG